GCACCTAAGACGAGTTGGGCATCCCTCCTGCATATTCCAGCAGGGCACTCTCCTTCCCCTGGCCTAGACCTGGCACACTACACTCAAGTGGTCTGTTGAAGGACAGAGCAGTCTGCTAAATCCCCCATACCTGGTAGGCAGCCAAATGCATTAAGTATTTGTTGCATATTGAAGGAACACTTCCAGGAATGCCCTTTATCTTTTTTAAATTGAAGTGTCCCTGCCTTCCAGTCTTGTCCAGAGAAAGTGATAGTATAAGGTCTAGAAGCTGCCCAAGGGCTACAGGCAAGACCTCCCCCCTCCCAGCCACTGAGAATCAACGCATTAAACTGCCACTCATGCTGGTCCATGGTAAGATGCGCTGGGGCACGAGAGAAAACAAATGGGGCTTTTGTTCCCCTTAGCCCTGGCAGGAGTGGGCACACCCACTTGCCTGATGTGGGACCCAGTGCAACAACTGGCCTGATGTGGGACCCAGTGCAACAACAGCGCTCCAGGGAGTTCTGAGGGGGAAGCAATGACTTCTGCCAGAGGGTATGGGGGGGACAGAGTTTTGATCAGGACCCAGTGTCTCTGCAGAGAACAGCAAGAGCAGTGTGGGATTAGGGGGGAGTTTAAAGGGCCCAGTGCCACACCAAGGTATTCCTGTCACTTCTGCAGCTGCCTGAGGGCAAGTACTCATATTAGGCAGCTCCTCATTCTCACTGTGGGTAGAGTCTAGACCACCAAGGTGGACAAAGGCTCCTGTCTCAGGAGAGTCACGGCAGCTTGACATTACCAAGTGTCCTGGCCTGGATGAAACCTGGGGCAGGGTGGGCAGCGCCAGCTGAAGTGAAGCATGCTTTGCATGTCCAGAAATCCTGTTGGAGAGGGTCGTGCTCCTCCCCCAATGGTCAGTGGGAAGCACCCTGCATCTGCACACCCTGCCTGCTCAACCCTTCCCCATCCTTCAAAACCCACCTTCTCCACAGGCCTTCTCTGGCCACTCTAGTTGGGAATTCAGGATTCTCTTTCCTCTGAAAACCCTAAATTCTCTCTCAAACTGATTTCTGGATGCTTTGGTCTGACTTACAGCCCGAGCTGTGGTTTTGGAAGCCTTTGTGCGGCACTGGCCCCAGTGAAGTCTGCATGCTCTTGTGGGACACTGCTCCCTACCCACTGGGGTGTAAAGAGGGCCTCCTCCTGGAGTAGGGACTCCTCGTCCCACACACCAGAAGCCTAGCATCTCTGCAGATGAGAATCTACATGCGAGGGACTTGAGTCATTTGGAGTTAAAATGACAATTAAGAGGAAAATATAAACAAAAATGGAATGCCAGCCAGCGACAGGCACAGTGAAGTATTTAGCCACGTCCTGATGTCTGCAATTTGAAATGCACTAAAATCTAAGCTGGATGAACGGAGGTGTGACAGGTGTAATAAAGCAAGTACGGGAGCAGTTTGTTAATGGCAGAACTGAGGTGTGGACTCGATCATTCTTTCAACTTTGGTGTCGGTTTCAACACATTCAAAATAAAATATTGCAAGAAAAAACAGACAATGAATTCTGTTAAAAGTTGCCCACTCTGTCACTCAGCAAATCTATCTCCGGTGGGCTTACCACGGCTTCTGCCTCCCCTAGGGCCATGTCCTGCTCACCCCAAGGTCTGGGCTAGGATGTTCCTTCTAGGAAGTCCTCCCAGAGCCTGCAGTGAAGTGCGAAAGCGTATTCAGCTGTTTTCTCTGGCCGGGCACGAGCGTCCCCGCATGAGTCGTCTCCTGCAGACCGGGAGGGGCACTGCGCCCCTACGCAGACCACCCTCAGTAAACCTGTGCATGACATCGGGACGCCGGGCAAAGAGCCGGGTGCAGATGCTGGAGACCCAGGGCCTTCCGTGGCATCGTGGCCGAGTCGCCCCGGACCAGAGCGCAGGCCGCCCACCCCATCAGCAACAGCCCGGCCCCCGCATCCCCTCCCGAGGTCCCTCCGCCGCGCAGCGGCTCCCCTGCCCCCACGCGACGGCTCCCGGCGACGAGCCCCCTTCCCTCCAGGCCTCCCAGCTCCGCGCCCACCCGTCCTTCCCGCACCGATTTTGTTGGGCCGGACGTCTCCGCCGGTCGCGGCGGCGAGGAGCGCGGCCAGCGCGGCGAGGAGCGGGGCGGCGCGTGCCATGGCGAGCGGAGAGCGGGCTCCCGCCGGGCTCGGGCGCTGGCGAGTGGGCGCTGGACTCGCCGCCCCGCCCCGGCGCCCCACTGGCCGCGCCGCCCTCCTGCCCCTCGCGGTGCCAGCCTCTCATTGGGCCCGCGGCCGTCCCTCTTCGGGGCGAGGCCCTCATTGGCTGCCGCTCTCTCGGGGTACGCTCCGGCATAGGCCGCTCCCCCGGCTCGCCCTGGACGCGGGCGCCTCACTGGCTGGCTCGGCCCGCCCCGGGCAGGTGTGCGCGCTCCGGGCTCCGGCTCGGGATCCAGATCCCCGTGCAGACGCTGGAGGAGGAACCAAGCTTGGCTGACCTCGTTCAGGTTCAGCCTCGGGGTTTCTAGCTTCGCAACGTGCCTGCCTCTGCGTCTCCTTCAGTTACCCGGTTCTCCCTCTCGAGGTGATGGTGGCAGCCATGTGGGTTGAGGGAGGTGGATCCGCTTGGCAGGAGCTGCAAGTTCGGGGAATTGCTGACCCAGCCCGCAGCCCGCGCTGGCTAGCTGCTCCCTTCTGCGTCGTTGGCGGAGACGAGGCCAGCTGCTCTCCAGACTGCTGTCACCTGTGCTACGGCAGTGTCTACCAGGTCCTAGCTCCGCCTTTGAAAACAAAAAAAGGAAGGAGTTTCACTCACTTTTCTCAGAGGGGCGGAAAGGTAAAGACACAAACTCCCTCTAGGGAAAGTGACCACACAGTGAAAGATTTCCTCTGGCAGAAAATAAAGTTGGGGATGAGTTTCAGGGTAAACAGGCAAAATTCACATTCATTTAGGCAGATTGTGGCTAAGAGAAGCAACCGAAGGGGTCGGAGTATAGTACATAGCTGGGGTTCTTAGTGTTAATTTAACAGGGCCAACCAGGAAGGGGTAGGTGAATAAACATGTATTTCTCATAATCTTAAGAAATTGGGACAGTGTTTGCATCAGAATGCAAAATATTTGAAGTTAACTTCCAAATGATGGAGGAGAGAATAGAAAACCTAAAGGAGTCATCACAAGACTAAAACCTGACTCACACAAGGAGGTGGGGGTCGAGGGGGGGAACATGACCATTCACCCAGCTATAGAAACCAAGGTCCTTGGGCGACGGTGCCTTCTTACAGGGCATAAGACCCAACCAGGTGTCAGATGCTGTAGGGAGTGTCTAGAGCATAGACCTGAGGGTAAAGCTATGGAGATTGGGCCCATCCTGGAATCTCTGGTCCCTTTTGGATTCTGCAGTTATCCCAAATCAGCAGCAAACAGGCCACTCCACAAAGGAGCGAGCCCCTCCCAAAGAGAAAAGGACTGTATCAGTGCAGTCTCTGCACAGGCTCGGGGCAGCAGTCCTTCTGCCCACCTGTGCCTATGCAGGTGCTTCCTTTCACCAACTCTCTCCCTCTGCAGGGCAGCAGCTTCCTGCCTGCCCGTGACCTGTCCCATGGTGGGGCTTCTCTTCACTGACCTCCCTCAGGGGAAGCAGCTCTCAAGGCCGCCCACCTGTGACCATGCAGGCCTCTCTCAGCAAACCTGTCCCTCTCGGGGCAGCCCTTTCTGCCCACTTGTGTCTGTTCAAATGTACTTTACTTTTTCTGTCCCTTTTCTAATAAACCTGTTCTTTACCGTCTCTGTCTCGTGGAGAAACTCGCCTGGGAAACTCGCCGTGTGCCACTGAAAGGGGAGCTCTGGTGAAAACTTTCCCAGAGTGAACCCAAGTTTCCCGCACTTCAAACTCCAAAAACTACATCACAAAGATTGAGTATTTTTTTGAATTTATTTAAATTTTATTTTTATATTCCCCATACAATTACAACCCCCTTATTTTGAACCCAACCCCCCTTTCCCCGCCGCCACCCCCCAATGAGTGTCTCTGGTTCATAGTTGTTTGTTGATTTTGATATTTTCTTTCTTATAGTTATTCTTTTTCCTGGTCCCCTATTTAGGTTTTCTAGATTCCTGCTATGAGTGAGACCATCCGGTATTTTTCTTTTTCTTTCTGGCTTATTTCGCTGAGCGTGATCCCTTCCAGCTCCATCCATGTTGCTGCAAACTGCATGTGTTTAAAAGGTTGAATATTCTTATGATTTTAAAAAATAAAACTTTATGCCGCAATCTTTTACATGCTGACTTAATCTGATTCTTGTAGTTTTTATGTATAATAGATCATACTAAATTCTTATGGGCCTCCCTGGTGGCGCAGGGGTTAAAGACTTCCAGGCACTATGAAGCTATCTGCAGTCACTGCGGCATGAATTCCATCCCCGACCGGCCAGGGAGCTACCCGCATGGCGCAGCAGACCTCTCTCTCTTGCCCACTGCTCTCCTCAGCAGTGTATTTCAGTCTGCCTGTTCTGCTCTCCACTCTGTCTCTGGTGAATCCTCTCCCTGCACTTCTGGTCTACACCCCAGTTCTTGTCTGCATAAATAATCTTAAAAAAGACAAAAAATTTAGGGCCTCCCCGCTGGCGCAGCGGTTGAGCGCTGGGTTGCGAAGCTGCCCATGGCCTCTGCAGCGCCGGTTCGATCCCCGGCTGCTACCCGGCCCCTGGAGGAGGGTCCCACATGGGGCGCAGACCTCTCCTGCCGCCCGCTGCTCCCCTCAGCAGTGTACTACGGTCCTTCTGCCTGCTCTGCTCCGTGCTTGCATAAATAAATAAATAAATCTTTAAAAAAAAAAATTGAAAAAAAACTTGAAAAAATAAATTCTGACTTACAAGTTCAAAAGAGCTGGAAGCAGAAACGCAAGGGGGCATTAATTTTGGTGACTAAAGTTGCAAAACTAGGGCCAGCGGATATAAGACTGCTACACAACCATGTGCTCCAAACCTTGGTGGTTCAGTGTGCATCTGGGTAGATCAGCTCACCTCTGGCCCATTCGCTATCAGGCGGGGCTTCACCGGGCCTTTAGTTTCATTCTGAGGCTCTTCAGCTTGCGTTTGGCTCCATGACTGGATTCCAACAATAAGCATTTGAAGACAGAAAGTGGGGCTGCCAGTTTAATGTTTGGGCTCAGAAACTGGCAGTGCCACTTCCACTATAACCTATTGGTGAGTCACAAAGCCAGATTCCAGATTTGGAGTCATGTTTGAAAATCTCCACAATGAATTGAAAATAAGGATAAAATCTAAGTGAACAGAATATGAATAAACTTAACCTGCTAGCATTGGGAATATGGGAAGAAATGGCTTATGGAGCCAGGGACTGTAGACAAGACTCAGAGGATGATGCAAATGCAAGGGCAGACAGAAAGAGGCCATCAGCTAGGTGGTTGGGCGTGTGGAAGCCCACGGAGTAGCCAAGGTAAGGCTAAGGGAAGACAGTCAAAAGTTGGGAAGGACCCATGGAAGCTGAAGGTCAGAACAAAGTCGCATGCCAGTAATCTGGTTGAAGAGACTGGTCAGGAGGGCAGCAGTTGAAGTGAGGTAGTTAAAACAGATCAAACAATTAGAATCAAGATGCAAACCCAAGAAAATGAGGCAATGCCAGAAAGGAATGCAGAAACAGTCCAGATCTGAGAAATACACAGGAATCAGACAAGTCATCAAGACAGAAAAACAAGTAAGACTTCCTCTGAGGAAGGGTGTGTAGTCTCTACACGCTACCCGCTGAGCAACTGAGATCTCAGCACCTCCACTGAGTGTCACAAGGGTGGCCCAGCAGTTCTCTAAGTCATCATATCAAAACACAGTATGAACAAGGCAGACAGACACCAAACATATGGACCCCAATTATTTCAGCTTGGGTTTTATTAGTTGTTTCTGAATATGTCATCCTTAGTTTGCAATTTTGCTTTTGCTTTAGAACCTTTCTTCATTCATCAAGTCCCTTGCTGTGGAGCACCAGATAACTCACGTCAGTATAAAACTGAGAGTCCTTTTACGGCAGTGAGGAAAATCTGCAAGAGATTTCTAGAAGTCAAATATCCTCCAAAATCCTTTCTTCGAATGAGCTGGAGCTTCCTTATATACTACATGTACATCAATATTGTCTTTTCATTTTACCATCAAGATGAAAATAATTAAGAGCACTGATACAATCTCCTTGCTCTGTTGGTCTAAAAACGTGAATTTCCTGCGCAATGGTTAAAAAACAAACCAGCCAAAAAATAACTAGAAGCTGGAAGGAAAGTAAGTCACTCTGACTGATAAGCTTACAATTGTTTTTTAATAGTTGAGTGGCTCTTAGCCAGTCTTCCCCTCCCCCTAGACTTTAGGCAATTATGAAAACAGGAAAAAAATGTGTAGATGAAAAGCAATAAAAATAAATATTTGAGCACGTACTGTAGTAGGCAATTTACGTTTGAGCCTTACAATATTGTGACAGAATGATTATAATCATTTTGCAAAGAGGAAGCAGAATCAGGTGCCCCAGGTTACCGACTGCTGAGCTGGGATTCATGCTCGTCTATGCCCCATTATGCTGCTTGAGCTCCCTTAAAGCCCTTCAACTTTTGGTGATTCCTACTGCTGGTAATCCATTTTCAAAGTTTATACATTAAAGTTTGTAAAACTGTGAATAAACGAAATGTGTATTCTCAATGTGCCTACTAAGACAGGAAGTTGCAAGGAATATTAGAAAACTCAAGTAATCAGAACATTCCATACCTAAAATGATTATTCAAATTCATTGGTAATGTCAGCTAGTAAAACAAGAACACAATGGTAATTGTAATTGACTGATTTTCTTGTCACCGTCTGTCAGTCTCAAAAAAATAAAGGCAAAAAGACAAATTCCTATTATGAAATCTGATTGCCCATTAAATCACAGTATGTGTTCAAAGGAAGGCCCAGAGATTCTGGTTCTGAAAACCTTCCGACCAATCTTTTGCATTTTAAAAGGATGTTATTTTTTTTTAAGTGTCTAAATCTGGTGGAGATGGCACAGCCCACTGGTGGATGGTTTTATCGATACATGTCTGTGTAGATTCCCAGACTTCATATGACATTTAAGATAACTTCTACCACTCCACTGAATTGGGATCGAGTGCCAGGAGAAATGGACTTATCTTATGGGTAACTAATTTAAACTTAGACCTATGCAACCTGGACTTCTAACACACAATTGTCTGCTGGAGACATAGCTGCATGTTTAGTAAAAAACTGTTGACTTTTACATGATTGATGTTATTATCTAGTTGTTGCTTATTTAAGTTCTCACTAAAGTTTAGTTCACTAGATTTAGAAATTATTCTTTTCCCTTGAGTTCAATTCTCAGAGCACTACATTTTCATACTTCAGGAGCAGCTGACAAGATGAGAATATCATTAAGGCCTCTTCTAACATTAAAATATGCATAATTGATCTCCTTTCTACAGTCCGGTTAATTCATTTGCTAACCCATTTATTGAACAACACATTTACAGACTACTAGTTATAAGCAATACCGAAAAAATAAGAAACACATAGGCTCAATGACCCCAGGTAAATACATAGAAGGGAGTGAGATGTTTACACCATGACATAATAACTAGGAACTAAAGTTTGTCAATGTAACAGAGGTAGTGATTTGTGAAAAAAAAAAAAAAAAAAAAAAAAATTAGTGTAACTCAATGAAAATGAGAAATGGTGGGAACCTAACATTTTTGTCTTGACCATCTCCTCTTTAATGAATAGGTAAAGGATAACAAGGCAAACTAGATTTCAGGGCTCATGAAAGAAAAACTGTAGGTAAATTACTTACACAGAACAATTTATAAAATAAGCTGCTTGTGCTGCCTCATTTCCCAGAAATGATTATATACCCAGGGAGGCTGAAAGTAAGTTGAAGATACTCAGCATCAGGTTTGCTGGTCCTCCTTCCTCACAAGGCTTTGGGGTAGTTCCAATGTTTCAATGTTCCCTGCCTTCCAAGCCTTGCCTGGACCTTTAGTTCTTGTAAATGGAGCCAGAAAGGAACAATGAGGGGAACTATGACATGTGCCTGACAGGGCATACAAGGACAAATGATTGCTAAAAGGAAAATTAAAATGTCCTGAAAATCCAAGTGTATAAAAATCAACTCAAATGATCTAAATTCGTACAATTACTTTTTATCATCTAAGTACCCAAATGTTGAACCAATCCTTATCATCTCCTTTTCCCACAAAATATAAGATCCTAACAAACCATGGTAGAGACATTAAAGAGGAACAATCATTTGAAAATACACAAACTTATACTTGTCTTTACCTTTCAAAAAGATTTTGGAATGAAAGTGAACAAAGTATCAATTTAAAAACAATTTTCCTAAACATATTCTGATAAAGGTCATACAAACACTTGTCACATTGTTCAAATGCCCAAGGGCAAGGTTTCTGATGAGACCAAACAGGTCACGTGAAATGAACAGTATCTCAGAAATAAAGCCAATATGACTAAATCCAACCCAGACCACATGAAGTACCTCATGTACAATACAAACCTAGCTTAATAAATAAAGGAGACACAGGTGACTGCACTCTGGGCGAGCGCTCAGTTCCCGATGGCCTATTCAGAGTCTTCTCGGAGACTCCACCGCCACTTCCACCCGGGCAAGTCTAATGGTGCGGCCATGAAGCTTGTAGCCATCTTGCCTGACTAATGCCACAGTGCCAGGCTGCACCCCAACACCAGCAGGCACGTGACAAATGAGTTCATGCTCATGAGGGTCGTATTTGTCACCGATGGGTGTCATCTTCTCCAGGCCATGCTTAGCAAACACATTTTTCAGCTTTGCCTCTAAAAGTGACAACCCTCGGAAGATCTTCTCCAGAGTGAGCTTCTGGTCCCCAGGCTCTGTTTCTTCAGAAATGCACCCTGTTGTCTTCTCCAAAATGTCTGCCACCTCCACCAAGTCCTTACAGAAACTCTGAATTCCTATGAAAACCAAACATCTTTATTGTTTGTGGGGAAATCACTTTGACTTTAGGGGGTGGGGTTTGGGGGCGATCAGGAGAGGTGGCTAATATACTGGGTGCCCCAGGAAATGGAAAGATTGCTGCAAAGGACTTGGGGATCGTCATCGATGACCCTCCCAACCTGATTTACAAGCTAGCGTTTCTCTTGGAAGGGGTATGTGACCGGGAAATGGGGAAGATGCTTAGAGCCCAAGCACTAGGCAAGACTAGGCACAACAGGCTCAGCAACTTGCCCTTTAAAAACCTGACCTTTTTAAGGGCCAAAGGGATATGAGAGATGGTGGTGGGAAAAAACAAACAAAAACTTGACCATTTTCACATACTTCTTATATTTTTTGTTGCTATTTACCTTCAGTACTGAATTATATACATCTTGAAATTGCCACCTGTCTTAGTTGTGCTGAGGTAGGAATTCTCAACTTGAAGGGGGAGATAGTTCAATTAAAAAAAATAGTACTATGTAAAGGATAGCAGGCTTTAGTTTGCTGAGCCCTAACCTGACAGTTGGAAATTAGAGGCTAAAACTTGGATAAAGTGTCAGGAGTAGTTTGGAGGTCAGTACTTAGCTGATACTCTAAGACCTGATTTTTGAGGACTACAGAAGTAGGTACAGGAAAGTAAGACACACCCACAGGGGAGGTGTGTCCAGCTTGCTTATTATAAAGCTATACATATGTGCTGGAGGCAGGCAATAGAACTTGTCTAATTTCTTTAGTCACGTGAACAAGATAAAAGTAAAATCAGCTGTTGAGAAGGCTTATAACAGAAATTAAGGGATGTCATCATTTAAGTCTTGTGCCAAAATAGGTAGGTACCTTAAATGTACTCGGAGGTAAAAAGGAAGATCACCTACTGTCAAGCAATAAAAGAACTATCATTTGGAGATTTCCCAGACGAACTGCCTGGCTGGGAAGGAACAACTCATAGAAAGGAAGGAATTCTACCTTCAATTTCTGGGTGATAAAGATTGTCACAGCTTCCTGAACAAGCCAAGTGCATGGATCTAGATTCGACTAAAAACATACATAGTGGATGTGAGGTACTGGAGACATGACCGATGAGCAGGAAGGGAAGATGTCAGAAGAAATAGGAGCCAACAGAAGTAATCTTGGTATGATCTAATCTGTTCTGGTGTAGTACAGGAAGAAAGGAGAGGGAGGAAGGAACCCAGGATGCATTTTCAAAGAACCAGACTTGGTGTGTTCAAAGTTCCAGAAGATACCTTCCTCATCCCGAGGGATGGCAGCTATGAGTAGTAATGGCTATTAAAGAGACCATCAGGAAAAAGCAGAAGAGATGAGCCAAAGGCTTGAAAGTAGGCCAGTACGATCAGAATTCCACTCAAGAGAAGAGAATGAAGGATAAAGATCAACCCAGATATCAAAGGTGTTCCCAGGCAATTCAAAGGAAGAGATACTCTAGAAGTGTGAGGGTGTAAGCTTCTGTGTTGACTTGTACACAGCCATAGGACAAAGAGACCTCTCTCCTACTCAGTAAAGTTGAATGAATTTGGGTAAACAGAAGCCTCGGTTCTCTTGTCTGTATAGTGAGGGGTTTTGTCTCTGATTCTATTCTATTGTTTTACTTCAAGAGATGGTTCTTAAGCGAAACAAATACAAAAAGTCCTTTGTAACCTATTAAGAGGAGGGAGAGTGACACACAACTATCCCTGGATGGAGGATAATCACCATGCTACATCTTACTTCCATGCTTACTGAACAATATGCAATTTTCTAAGCATTACAGTCCACTGGGAGCAAATGACCTAAGCAAATGACTTCCATAGCATGTTTTGCTAGACATATGCTAAAAACCAGATATGATCACATTTTTAGAGTTTAGTTAATGTGTTTGTTCCCAGGAACTTTATGAATCCTTGTGGAAACTGAGAGAAACCAGTTGCTAACTTAAAGCTTGATTTCTGCTAAGCCATCTACCAGTTAGCATAACTGGGTCTATTTGCTACAGAAATCCTCCATAGCTCCGGGGTCAGCAAAGTTTTTCTGCAAAGGATCACAGAGCCAATATTTTTTGGTTTTGTGGGATAAAAGGATCAAGGATTTCATGTAAGCAATTACAACAAATGAGAAAAAAAAGCCCATGAGTTTTTTATGATGAAATGAAGAGCCGGATTTATGGACTAACAGGCAGCAGGTATGGTCAGCAGGCTTTAGTTTGCTGAGCTGTGCCCTGACAGTTGGAAATTAGAGGCTAAACCTTAGATAAAGTGTCAGGAGTAGTTTGGGGGTGAGTACTTAGCTAAGTACTCACTCTAAGCCCTGAAACACGGTGTCTATAGCACTGAATGAAAGCCAGAAGGCTATGCCAAAATACTGCCGTTGGACAGATAGCAATGAAGTGAATCTTATGCACAAACAGCAGATAAAAATCTAGAGAATGGAAAGTTATGATATAGGAGAAAGACTAATAGATCAGGGGTTAGGAGATAGTGCACTTGAGTCTGTCACCAATTAAATTTTTCTTCTTATCTGTGAAAACATATTGGACCAAGTCCCCTTAAGCACTTTCCTTTCATGGAAGTGAAAGTAAAATGCACCATATTAAATAGTGAGCACAGCGAGAAATCAGATTTGCCCTTTACCTTTGAATCCCTATTTACCAAGTAACATTTTCATGAAAACATTTGGAACAAATTGTAGTGTGTTTAGGGAAAAATGTCCAAAAGACTTTGAAACACACCAAAAAGATTCTCATCAATAAAAAAATAGATGTGATCTGGCACAATCTTGAGGGTTATCTGTTTCCATGTGGTCTAAGCCTTTGCCTTTGAGTTATTTAATAATGTAGCAAGTTGCAGAACACTGACAGTAATGCAAGTGATTCTTGTTTGCAGCAGTGAAAACCATCTGATGGAAAGTTTATTATTGCATGATGGATATAGGCAATTTTGCTTCTCTAAGTAGATTTCAGCATTCCTGATGGCCTATGGGTCTGCATTTTGGATTCATCTCTGAACATCTTAAGGATTCATTTACATTAATGAATTAAACAGAGTGGTATGTGTAAGAATGTTAATAGGACATGCTTGAAAAATAAAGGTTTGGTCAAAAAAGAGGGCCAGCATTCTTTTAGCATATGGTTCACTTTTAGCATATGGTTCACATTCCCAGTAAACAGCACAGAAGGCCTTTTGGAATAGCAGAAGGCGAGAGCAAGGATTGGTGAAGGACACAGTTGTGTTTTCACTATGTTCAGTTTGCAAAACTGCTACTAACTGGCCTAAATGAAGAGGTACTTTTAAATTGTGAATGAATCTCTCACCAAATATCTTGGCATCTTCTACACATCTCTGGGTTCGCCTTCTTATGTTTTCACCATCAGCTACAGCTCTTTGGTATCTCACCTGAACATCAAAAGCAAAGTCAAAGTGATGAGCAAAGAAGGCTTTTGCTTATTTTATGAAGTTCACTCTTGTAATAGGTTTTTGTAAAAACATAACAAATAAATTTTAGGTTTAGGACTCTTAGATCAGCTACTCCAAACCCACAGTCAGAGCAGAAATCATACTCTTTATCAGCAGCCCTGACAAGCTCCCACTGAGCCTGTGAGTTTGAACACTTAACATTTGCCATGCTCATTATCTTGAGAAAAAGCTTTCTTTTTCACGGTCAGTCAACACTGCCACCCTCTAACGTTAGTTTAACGAAATTAACTCTGGGACAACCAAGAGTAAGTTCTAAAAAAATGTCACCTAGGACCTCCCTGGTGGCGCAAGGGGTTAAGACGCAACCTATGAAGCTATCAGCAGCCACTGCAGCATGAGTTTGATCCCCAGCCAGGTAGCTAATCAACATGGTGCAGCAGACCTCTCCTGTCTCACCAGCTGCTCCCCTCAGCAGTGTATTTCAGTCAATCTGCCTGTTCTGTTTTCCACTGTCTCTGGTGGATCCTCTCACCAACCCCCCCTCCTCAACGCCTCTGGTCTGTATTCCAGTTCTTGTATGCATAAATAAATAAATCTTTAAAAAAATATTTAAAATGTCAGCTACTTGAAGAGTTTCTTTAGCCCCCCTTTTTTTTTCTTTCATTTTTATAAACCTTGGTTCCTTTTAATTGCTCTCATGAGATATACTTTTCATCCTCCTTACCATTCTGGGTGTACTCTATTTGGAGTTACTCTAATTCTCTATCTCCCTCAGGGTTTGTCTGTGAATCCAGTACAGGGTACAGTGTGCCAGATGTAGTCTGATGAGCAGAGCACAATGATAAATGATCTCACTCATTCAATACATATTTATTGAGTGTCTACTACATGCCAGGCACAGTACCGCCTTTGAAACTACTAAAAATATCAGATATGTAAGTACTATGACATGACATGGAACTGAAGACAGAATAGAAAAGATGACTATCTGTAGTAAGTGATGTTTTTCAATCCCTACACATTATTTTGCCTGGTATACCTAGCAAGACAATAGAGGTGGGGTGAAGAGTAAAGAGACAATTAATTTAAAAGTGACACAGAAAACTTTCTTTGGCTATTTAAATCAGAGAGAAGATGTGAATAAAAGATTAAAATAAAATCTACTCACTGTTAAATCCTGGACTTCCTTCTCCAGTTTAACAGCTTTTAGCTTTAAGGCTCTTTCTGCAAGAGAGGGCCCAAGCTCATCAGGAGGGTCCTCGGAACTGCAGTCCTCGCCAGTGGTTCTCTGGGTGGCAGTGCTGAAAGGACGCATCCATCTTCTCAAGTGGGAAGGAGGTGGCCCATAATGAAGAAATGCCATCATAAATAGCCAAGCTACAACAAAGTCCAGTGACTGAAAATGGAGTTTCCCAGATTGACTCTCAAGACAAAGTGCCTTCAGTCATGGTAACAACACAAACACTTATAATGTGCTTACTAAGTGCAAGACACTGCTGTCAGGGTTTTACCTAAATACTCTTTTCATCTAACAATATGTGACACAAGCACAATCATCATCCCTATTTTACCTGTGAGGAAGCTCAGGTTCAGAGAGGCTTAAGACCACAAGACCACAGAGCAAATATTCTGGTAAGCTAGGGTACTGAGCACTTTCCTGGGAAGAAACAGTCAACGAGGAATCTACCCGAAAATAGCATCTTTCACTAACTGAAAACGCCAACTCTGGAGACCTGACTAGTGTCCAGTCAGGATTACACCATCTCTCAATTATTTAAGTAGGAAGGATTACTCAATTTTTCCGAAACTCAGTGTTTCAATTAAATACTGGGATAAAAAGAACTACCCATCCTTCTGCAATCGAATAAGTGACCAGTAACAGCTGCTTCAGATTCCCTAAGGCAGGTGGAAGGGCCATTTGGAGAGACGAAATTTAACACCCTCATATGGACAGGTAAAGTGATGGCTGGATATAGAAGGAGGAAGTGGATTAAACCCACACAGAGAGTGTGGCGAGGAAATCCCAATCTACGGGCAGCTAGCACAGCTGGGAGTGGGGTGGGTAGGTGGGGGAGGTATATCCCAATCCAATGGCTGCTCAGAGCCCCAGAGCTCCCACTAGCGAGAACGTCACCTCGGCCCTTGTCACCTTTCTCCACCCGGCAGGAAGGCGTGGCCATGGGCCTCAGTTTCCCCCTCAATAAAATGGGACCAAGAGGGCCGGGTCGTTGTGGCCCACAGGCTTCGTGAGTCCTGTCGCCCCCCAGCGCACAACCGCCCCTCCCGGTCGTTCGTTCCGCTCGGCCCTCACGTCCCTGAGCCCCACCTGTCTCGTTTACCTGCCGTCAGAGGCGGCACTCCAGGCCAGGAGGCGCTGCAACCGCCGCCGGCCCGCCCACAGGGACCGCGCGGCCATGTTCCCGACCTCGGCTCAAGCGAGCGGCGCAAGCGCACTTGCTCCGAGGGGGGGGGGTGTGTGGAGTGAAGGGGGGCGGGGCGAGCTACGCGCTCTTTAAAAAAACCACGCTTCCCGGCAGCCTTTGCAGTTCCCTCCGCGACTGTCGGGCTGGACGACCGCACTTCCGGTTGTCCCCGCGCGCCGCGCTGCTCCCCATTCTGTCTTCCGGCCCCGGCGCCAACTTCCGGCCTCCAGGGTTTTGGGCGCGTAGGGTTGCTGCCCGCCCTCGCGACGTCGGCCCTGTTCTTGGCGCGGAATCCGCGGCGAACAAAGGGGTGCACCCTTGCGGCGCCCACTTCAAGTGATAAACGAAGTTAGACAAACGCAAAGGCGGTAAAAGCCAGACTATGAGCGGTGTTTACAGAACGCTCTGCTGCAGAAGCCTAGAATACCTAGAATGCCGTAGGCTTTGGGGGATTTCCCCAAAGGAAATAACTTCTGAACTGAAAACTGAAGCTCGAGTAGATGAGAGGAGGAAGAGTGAAGTTCATGGGAGGGAAATATCAGCATCTCCCAAGCCCAGTGAGACCTAAGCCGTACAGTGAGGCAGGGCCAGGCCACTTGTGGGACTTAAAAAGGCAAAACGTTGTCTCTTCCTGCCATGACTTCTCTTGCTGTTCTCCCGCCAGTTCGTATCCGCTCACTAAGATGTAAACTCCATTATGGCTGAGATTCATTTTTGTTCATTTCCAAGGAACAAGTGCCCTAACCTAATTGCTGAGAATTTTATTTCTCGAATGAACTTTAATCTTAGTCTGATTGCAATGGGGACATATTACAAAGCCTTTACATGTTTGAGGGGGTTATTCTGACTGCGTACAGAGGGGATAAGGAGGCCGGAGGTAATAGACAAATTGTTAGAATAGTCCATGCAATAGAGGATATATTGTTCTGGGCTCACTGCCATAGAGACCTTTGTAACCATCCTCGGAAGTAACTGTTTTAGGTATGTCCTGCACCTTTTTTGCTTCTCTACTAGTGTGTGCTTCATGAAGATGTCTGTCTTATTGCAACTATTATTTCCAACATTTGGTAGAGTAGTAATAGGTGTGCATAGTAGATGCATGTCTTATGTGTTCAACTATTTTTTGAATTAATGAAGTTGGATGGTGTTAATGGAGATAGAAGTGGATGGATTTTAAAGGGAGTTAGTATGGGAAGCTGAGAGGATGCAAGGATGGACTGATGATTGGGGTTGGAGGTGTTTGAGAGTTGCTGTACTAATTACTGGATAGACCCTAAAGCCAAAATACAGTTTTTTAAGAGTTGGTACGTGTGCCTCTTTATTCTGAATCTTCACTATGATGTGACTTGTAGCTATTTGGGTCAGATTTTCTCTGCTTGTCTATGAATTCCATGAAGATAGAGCTGGAGTATTTTGCATCTTTATATTCTATCCAAGGCCTTGCTCAATACCTTATGTTTCCTTTCAGCCTTCAGAGAAAAGCCACATGGTTTAAAGAATGATTATGATTCCCTTTTACACAGGAGAAAGATAAAGGCTCAGATTGCTGATGAACGGGCTAGCAACACAAGGATTCTTAACAGTACAAAGACGTGGCAGTGCTGGGAAAGACAGAGCTTCAAGTCTACCTCTGACTCATGTGCCAGTACTTTGGAAAAATAACCAAGTGTTTTAAAAAGCAGGAACTGGCATCCATGCTTAGTCATTTTGTTTACAATTCTCTTAGCTGTCCAATTTATACCACATGTGTTGCAAACATGCATCCATTTGTTCATGTATTTATTAAGTGCTAGTGTGCTAGAATGTTGCCGTGCAAGGGGAATGGGAGAAATGGATGAACAGAGCCCCAGAACTAGGAGGAAGGGCTCTAGCATCAGGCTTCTTGTATTCACATGATGACTTCACCCCTTCCTGTGCGTTTCAGCAAGTCACCTAACCTCTCTGGACTTTATTTCCTTAACTGTGAAAAGCGGTAATAGAATATTTCTAACAGGGTTTTAGTGAAGACTAAAGATAATGCCTGCAAATGTAATTAGTAGTACCAAGACTAGCTACATAATTTAAAGGGCAAAAGGAAAAATGTAGAGTTCCTTGTTCAAAAATTATTAAGAGGGCAACAGCAGAGCATTAAACCAAGCATGGTACTCCATGTGTGGATTACATGCCTGTGGAGTTGACCCTGGCTAACATGATAATTGTTGATTATTAATTATCTGGGGTTCCACCTTTCAAAGAGTGTGAAATCTGTTGGTGTGAAAAGACACTCACTTCCAAAATGACTGCATGAAAAAGACTGTCATACACTAAGAACAGAGTTATGAATGCTGGGTATCTTTCCAGAACCTGCATTTTAAAAAACATTGACAATCCGGGTTATGTGAGTTTCTTTTTCATTGCAAATTAAATCTGGGTGAAAACTGTCACTAAAAGATTGGTTGCCTTTTAGCTTTCGATGGCTATATTTACCATGGAAAGATCATTTCTTCTTCAGTTGAAAGAATATGGGATTTTGAGTCAGACACTTATCATCTAGCTAATAATAAAAGCCACTTTTGATTGAGCATTTCATATTTCCTATATACTGCACATTGCTTCCAATGTATTATCTCACTAAATTCCCCAACAGTCTTGGGAAGGAAGTGCAATTGTTAACCTGGTTTTTATAGGTAAGGGGAAAAAAAAAAAGAGGTCAAGTAACTTTCCCAAAGACAACTGGTAAGTAGCAAAAGCTACTCAAACCCAGTCCTGTCTGAATCCAGTTTCGTAAGATTTACGCTCTGCCACTGACCAGCTGGGTGGTTGTGGTTAACTTCTTTTCCACCTCATGGGATGGTAAAGTTTGGATGAGGTTTATGTAATAAAGCTGTAGGTAGGGGAACCATGTAAAGCTGTTAGCAAAGTGCCCAGAGGTTATTCTGGCATTTCCCTTGATCTAGCTCCTGAACAATTACAGTTAACAGCTTTATCTTTATTGGAAGGAAACATGGTAAACACCTATAAAGTGCTTAGAGTGTTTGGCAAGTAGTGAATGGCTCAGGTAGTAGAGACTTCCTAGGAGTTGGGGTTTTTACTTCCCTATAAAAGTATCGAGGGTTTATACAATGCTTAGCACCCATGTGGCAGAAATGAACCACATGTTTTTCTTGATAGCAGATAGGGAAGGGAAGACTAGGTGGGTATCTGAATGCAAGATGAGGACAAAGACATAGTCATCTGAATTTCTTTGGTTTACCTTTATGCAGGCAGGGATGATTCTATTGATATTTCAGCCTATCTGTCTTGCCTGGAGGTTGTCAGTAATACCCAATGAATCCACCTGGCACAAGTGTGATCAGATGATCACGCCTCGGCTCAACACAGCACTGTGGATGCCTTAGCACTGCCTTCCATTGCCCTAAGGCCTGGGCATAGGATGCTGAGAAAGGATGGAATGGCTTATTGACACGCTTTCATTTCTCCTTTAGAAGAGAAGGCAAAGACATCCAACAAAACCTTTAAACTGTGCAAATTTCATCTCCCTTCACCCCCATTTTCCATCCTCTGTAAAGTTATAGGGATGTCCTCCATTCCCCTCTTCCATTCTACTTCTTCCCTCCCCATGTCCCCTGTAATCATGTAGACAATAAAGGCTGGTCTTTTGGGTGTCCAGGAGAGTGGGGGCTACTTCCAGTCTTTTGGTGTCACCCAGTGAAAAAAAGCTTTTCTGTCTTGGATGGACAAGTTGATATTTCCTTTGGATGAAATTCTCTTCTTTCTAGGTCTTCTTCATTTCCCATTCCTGAAGCATAGAAAGACAAGACCAATCAATCTGTTGACTATTTGAGTATGACTTGTAGAATAAAAACATCCCACTGCATCTAATCATATAAAGGTTTCCAGTGGGCAGATTAGAGAGCCATGGGTCCTAGTCCCTAGTCCCGTCCTCTCGGTGTGTGGCCTGAGGTAAGTCACTTGGCCATGCTTGGCCTCATTTCTAAGAAGGCTCAAGCATCACAGAGTTTGTCTTTTTCAGACAAACTCTGGAAACTGAGCCCAGAAGGAGGAGGGGGGTGGGGACTGCATCGGGGCCAGAGCTATTCCATAGGATCTTGATGTGGGTTAGGAGGCTTACAAGAGGGAAACCAAGAAGTTTGGTAAGGGAAGGTAAGGTCAGGCAGCCCACAGGCTCCATCCCTTTTCACAGGGTTGTCTAGGAGTTCATCTAAGAGGGATCCTGAAGTCATGGCCAACAGTGAATAGCTTTTGACTCATAAACAATGCATAGGGCTTCCAGCCAAGCCTGGGACAGGGGTGGGGGTGTGTGTGTGTGGGGGGATGGTATCAACCAGATTAGAACATGGTGATTAGAACATTCTTGGTGGGGGTATTCTCCAATCCCAACCAGCTCCTCCAAGCTCAACCACCTAAACAACAGTTGCTCGGGGCAATGATCTCAGAGTCATCCTTTTCCTCATCTTCCATATCCTCATCAGCAAATCATTTGGCTCTATCCCCAAAGCCATCCACCTTGTATTACCTCCACTAAATCTTTCTCACTTGAAATCTAGATCACTCTTACATCTAGATTACTACTTCTAATTGATCTCTCTTATGCTTTCAGCCATTTTAAATACAATAGTGAGAATGGTCTTTTAAAAGCATAATTCATATCCCCAAATTCCTTGCCTAAAACTTGCCAGTGACTTTCTACTATGTTAAAATATGATTCAAAAATCTTCCAGTGGCTTATAAGTTTGAAGGAAAAGCAAACAATGACCCATGATGGGTCAAATCTGGATTAGCGCATGTTTTTGTTCAACCCATCAGCTAAGAATGCTTTTCACATTTTAAAATGTGAAATGTTCAAAAAAAAAAAATCAAAGGAATGATTTTTCACAACACATGAAATTATATAAAAAGCAAATCTCAGTGTCCTTGCATAAAGTTTTACTGGGAAATAGTCCTAGTCATCATTCATTTACATATTGTCTGTCACCACTTTCCTGTTATGATGGCAGAGTTGAGTGATCATGAGAGTTCATGTGTGGGGTTCACAAAACCTCAGATATTTCTTATCTGGCCCTTTCCAGAGAAAGTTTTCTAATGTTGGGCCTTGATGGCCTGGGCTCTGGCTGATTATTTCTCTAATCTCATATCGTAATGCTCAGGTGTTTGTTTTTCAGGTCCTACTTTGTTATCTGCAATTCTGAATGCCAGAAAGTCCTGAGACCAATCAATATTTTTAAGTGTTTTGGCACGATCTCACTTGAGGGCAAAACCTGTCTTGAACATGAAGCCATTTGTAACCTATTTATTCCACAGGGTGTGATTTTTCATGTGCTCTACTGTAGTTATTAATGTGTTTACTTCCAGGGTCCCTACCTCGTGAGAACTTGTTGGGGTTTTTCATCCATTAGAGCATATGTGCCTTATTAATTTTATAAAATCCAAAAAGTTCTGAAACACAGTTGGCCCGAGAGCTTCAGAGATGGGACTGTGAAGCAGTGTCATGGCGTGAGCCCTGGCTTGGAATGGGGAGAGGCGGGCTTTATCCCAGTTTGGCCACAGAAGCCCCGCATACCTGTCAAGTCCCTCCACTCCCTGATTTTCAGATTCCTCCTTTCTGAAATGGCCTTCTTTGTCCCAAAACACACTGTAGACTCAGAAACCAGAGCTTTTTAGAATTCTGTGTTAAGAAAAACTTAAGAAGGTTCTGAATGAGCAAAGTTGATGGTTTTTACTCCATGGATATTACCGGCAATTCTCTGCCCTTCCCACTAGCTGATTTTTTTGGTTTTTACTGACATTCCGCATAAAGGCTGAAGATCTCTGAACACTGAGTGCTGTACCTTGGCTTTCTGCAGCACCCTTCCTTGGCTGGAGGTTACAATGGACGGACTCCTCTTCCGCAGCTCAGAAACACAGTTGACGGGGAGAGGTTGCTCTGAGGTGGTGTTCTGGGGTTTATTTGCAGTTTCCTGTTGATAAGAAATAATTACATAGGTGAGGTCTAGTGCTGGCCGCCCATGCTGGGCCTGCCCTCCAGAGAACGTAAACAGAAGGCACTATGCAAACATGCCAGCACCAAAATGGGTAAGGGCCCTGGAGTAAATGTAATGGTGGCTAAAATGATGGCACCCTCACGGCGCGCCAGGCTTTGTGTGGATTAGCTCATTCAGCCTCCTCACCAAGCCTCAGGAATATGTACTATTATTAGTCATTCTATTTCGCAAGTAAGGAAAATGGGAAGGTCAAGTCACAGCTCGAGATCATGTAGTGGTGAGTGGGAGAGCCCCGAGTCAACCACCACAGCCCTATTTCTTGGCCTTTCTCTTCTCTTCCCATTTTCTGCACTGTCCTCACCCCTTCACATTTTCTATCTAATTGCTTAGTACTTTACTGGCTGTAGTTCCTTATGTGTGGTCTCCTAACAACTAAACCTGCAGGGAACTTAAAGAAGACTTCTCCTTATATCCTAAGGCCATCCACAGTATCCAAAGTGGAGGGGAATGGGGACCTCAGGGTCTGCTGGCAGGAGGCGGCAGCTAGGATGAAGGAGATACTTCCAGCCCCTACAAGAGCCTGAGCCCTCCGAGACTTTGGGAAGTCATTGTGTCCCTGACCCTTAAGCTCTTCATCTGTAAATGAAGTTGGGAATGCCCCATGGAGAGAAAGTGTGGGGGCTGAAGGGACAGCCCTGGCTTCAGAGACATCAGGGTGTGGTCTGACAGACAATGCGATATGGGACAGTAACAGTAAGAATATGGTTCCCAGTGACAACTCACACTTATCAGACCAGTTAGTTCATCTTTCAGTTTCCTGGTCTGAAATCAGGTGTAACATTTATTCATTCAACAAACATCAACTGCACTCCCATTTTTCAGACTCTATAAAGGACTAAGGCTATAATGATAATCAAATAAAAACACAATCTAGTGGGGCAGTCAGATGTTAGACAAGCATACATATTTGCATATATATGGATGTATGTATTTATAAGTATGTGTACATGTATACATACATGCAAGTTGTCATTAGGTGCTATGAGAAAGAATAACATGATAGGACTGTTGGAAACTTAGACCAGTGAGGGGTGATTTTGTCATTTCAGGAGACGTCTGGAAATTTCTGGGAACATTTCTGGTTGTCCAAAGCTAGGACATGGAGCTATGAGCAGCTAGTGGCTGCTAGCATCTGGGGTCTAGGGATGCTGTTAAACATCCCACAAGACACATAATAATTCCTAATAAAAATACATTGGCCCTGGGCCTCCCCGGTGGCGCAGCGGTTGAGCACTGGGTTGCGAAGCTGCCCGCAGCCTCTGTGGCGCCGGTTAGATCCCCGGCTGCTCCCCGGCCACTGGAGGAGGGTCCCACATGGCGCGCAGACCTCTCCTGCCGCCCGCTGCTCCCCTCAGCAGTGTACTTCGGTCCTTCTGCCTGCTCTGCTCCCCGCTCTGGCTCTGGTGAATTCTCTCACCCTCCCGCGCTTCTGACTGTACCCAGTGCATGTATAAACAAAACAAACAAACAAATAAATAAATAAATAAAGCATGCCTCTATAAAAAAAAAAAACAAAAAAAAAAAAACAAAAAAACAAAACAAAAAAAAAAAAAAATTAAAAAAAAAAAAAATACATTGGCCCAAATGGGCCAATAATTGCTGAGACTGAGACAATGACATGGACTGAGGGAGTCTCATTCAAGGTGAGAGTATCTATTTCTCAGGGTTGCAGGGAGCCTTTGAGATAATGGACCCAAGCCCTAAAGATAGCCTGGTACATGGGGACATGTTCCACACTGGCCAAAGCAGGGCTCTGGAGTCAGAATTTCTGGGTTTGGAATCCTGTTTCCCATTTAGCTGAGTGACCTTGAGCATGTCAGTCAACATCTCTGAACCTGGGTTTCCATGTCTTGACAAGTGGAGTGAATGCACATAGTGTTCCCTCATGGGACTGCTGTGAAGATCGAGTGAGCGGATCCAGATGCTGTATGGCCTATGGTAGTAGATCAGCATGAGTCTGTTATTCTGATCCAACAGTTATTATCACTGTTATTATCATGCGTAACCCAAAGGCCACTTCTTCGACGGCATTCAGTATAAAAAGCCAAATGGTGAGACCTTAGCAGAGAGAACCCAGGCCAGAGAGCTTGCTCCAACTCCCAGACTCCCCTTCTCAGCTGTGCCACCTGTGCCATGCCCAACCCTTCTTGGGTCCTCAGTTTTCTCATCTGAGAATGAGCATAGAAGCACAGCTTTGATGACCAGGAAGACCTGTAGCATGTGAGGGGCTTGTGGAGCAGCTGCCGCCAGCACCAGAGGAAGTGGACTCACCCCATTCTTGTTCTTGCTGCTCACAGAGAGCCCCAGGGCCGGGCCCCCTGCCAAGGACTGCTGCAAACGCTCCTTCACAGCCACCAGCCGCAGCTCCAGGTCGATCCGGCGCTCCTCCTTTGCTCTACACTGAGCTTCCAGGGTGGCCATGGCCTCCTCCAGAACCTTTAATTTTGCTCCTGTGTCCGAAGATATGGGTGAGAAACAGCTGAGCCTGGCCTCAAGCATCAGGTTGTCTGGCAAGGCCTCAGGCCTTAGTCTTCCCCTTCTTGTCACCCATCAGTCCTAGTTTTAAGGGGTAAATTTTGGGTCTGGGTTCCATTTCTGAGCTGGGCTATATTGTTTTTACATGCTCAGTACCCACCTCCCAATCTTCTAGATACAGAGTCCTGATTTACCACAGGGAAACCACCTTTTCTTTTTCATTCCCTAATGTTTGAGTGGGGCTAATCTCACTCTCTTAGTTGAAGGGTTTGACACATAGCTCAAGCTTGATCCATAGTCATATCTTATTTTCTGGTCCCAGAGACTGGCTTAGGAATCAAAATTGGTCTAGTTAGAGTGAATCCTGTGGCTTTTGTGGAAGTCACTGGGAAGAGAAGCTCTTTCTGCTGCAGTGACTGAGAGGACTGAGTGAGGGCTGGATCTGGACAGCCACTACATCATCATGAGGCAGAAAATGAAATCAGGTACAGGAAGGCAGACAAAAGGAGGAGAGAATACGCTTCCTGGAGACATCACTTATGTTCCTGGACCTCACTATATTTGATTGATTGCTCAACTTGCCAATTTTAGTTTTCTTCATTTCTAAGCCAGTTTGTCTGTGACTTCTCTTGTAACTGAGTATAACCCTTTACATTGACCAGGTGTTACTACTAGGATATTGCTGCTCATTCAGTTTAAACAAACACACCTATATAAGTACCTTCTTCACACCAAGAGCTGTTTGGGGTCTCATCAGGTTTAAAAATTCATTCCATTTTTGCCTGACAGAGGCTGCACTGGAGGGTTTTCTAGTAATGGGCAATTTTTTATGTGTCTGGACTATTCATTTGTTCATTCAGTCATTTAGTACCAACAGAGTGCTACTATTATGGGCCTTTGCAATATATCAGTGAATGAAACACACATAGATCCTTGCCCTTGTGGAGCTTATACGTGTGTGCATCATGAGGGAGAGAAACAATATAATTAATAATCTAATATGTTACAAAGTGGTGTGCTATGAAACAATTGACAGACAAGGAAGATAGTCAGTCTTCTCCAAAACCTGGTTCAGACTCTTAGAAAGTTCCTTATATTGAAACCAAACTAACCTCCTTTGCCTCCCTTTCTTGATTCTAGTCCTTGACCAAACAGTACAAGTCAAATCCTTTAATCCAGATATTCTCAATCCGAGGCTAATGAATCTCAATCTTAGGCAATGTATGGGTGGGCTCGAGGGGGCACCGGAGTGCCTGAAATTGTTCGCAATGCTGTGAACTGGGCCACAGGCTCCATTGGACTCCCATGCACTGTGTGATCCTGGACATGCTCTCTGAGGACAGGACCTCTGCTCCCGTCACTCACCCTCTGGCTGAAAGTGCTGAACTGCAGTTAGAGAGAGAAGACAGCAGTGGAAACAGCAGAGAGTGGGCACAGAGGAGCCCAGAGCGGGCAGGGTCTGTGGAGGTCATAGCCCTGGGCCTCAGAAGAGAGTCCTGCAAAGTGTCACCGTCCCAGCCGCTGGACCAATGTGCCCCACAGTCCGGTGCTCAGTAAATATCTGTGAATGAATGAGCTAATGTGTTGTTCAGAATAATGACTCTTATTTCCTTGATTCTAGGACATGCTGCTTTCCACATTTTAACATTTCTAAAATGAGGTAACATTTTACTACATTAAGTGCACATGTTTTGATGCTGCTTTTTCATCCCCTTTCACCAAAGCAGTTATTAAATTGACGGCACTTCCATTAGGCAGGAGGGATGATGATGATGATGATGATGATGATAAGGAGGAGGAAGGGGAGGAGAAGTTCACCTGTCCTGGGTAAGAAACTTGGGGACCTGTGCAGACCACCTCCCCATATCTCCCCTTCCTGTCCCAGAGGCGGGGCCACGGCCATGTCCCCGACTGCCTGGGCACACACGCAGGTACCTGGGTTGCTCCGGATGGTTTCCTTCAGCTCCTTCTTCTCTTGCCGCAGCGCCATCAGCTCGGTCCGTATGGTCTCCTTCTCTTTCTCCAGCTTCTCCTTTTCTACCAAGTATCTCCGGGCATCCTCCTCAGCTCGGTTCTTACCATACTTGTACTGGTTGGCACCTGCAGAGATGGGAGGCGGAGGACGGACCTCAGTTCTGACCTGTACTTGGCTGGCTGTAGCTTCTCTCTCAGCCTCAACTTTTTTCTATAAAATGGAAACACTTAGATCTGCACCCCTAGATAAACTTGGTGGCAATCTCCCAGAGAAATACAGACTGGGAGGGAGGAAGGAGAGCACAGGTATTAGCAGTCTTTCTGACTTTCTCGCTGATCTTTCTGCTGAGCTGCCTGCTTCCACTGGTGTCACACCTGCTAATGCCAACTGCTTGTTCTACTGTTTTTGACAAGGCCTGTGGCATCAGTTGTTGCAATCTGATCCTATTAATTTCAGCCACTGCACAGTCATTTTGGAGGCCAATCTTTGGAGAATAGTCTTTGTTTTGGCCCCAGGTGGCCTCCTCTTCCCTGTCTCCTTCCCTGGTTCTCTCTAGTGAAACTGCTGGCCTATGGTTTAGTTTATTGCTCTCATGGAGCTGCTACTGGCCTCTCAAATTGGTTCCCACCAAATCTCCATGGTTTTTGAGAGAACTCTTTGGCTTGAACTTCTCCATACTGTTCCAACTCAAGGCAAATCTTTTGAGGGAGAGCTTTGGAGTTCTCTGTTCTTATGGCCTGCCTCTCACCATGGGCAACATCTCTGAGCCACTGTTCTGAATCCAGGGATGGGACCACGGCCTGCTTCTCTTGGAGTGACAGCTCTGCCTGATGAGCAGGGTGCTGGTAAAGAACCATAACCCCTGTTCTTCGAGGCTTACCTCTTCCAGCGGGGAACCTTTGTCCTATAAGTGAGTTGCAGGGAGGGTCATTGGGTAGGCCCTGGGTAGACCCTCTCCCCTGTGAGTTGGGGTGGGTAGGGGAAGGGAACACCCTTTGTTTCAGCTGTATTCACCTGGAATTTAGCTTCTGCAGTGCAGAGTGGGGTGGGGGTAGGGTGAGTAGTGCTGGTGATGAGAGGTGGGGAGATGTTGCAACCCTTTGCTGGGGGAGGGAACCCTATTGTCTTGTTCACATCTGCCTAGAAGAGCGATTGTTATACTAAGCTGGGAGAAGGGTAAAGGAGTGGGTTGTAGCTCAAGTGCTAAAGACTGTTATGGTTTTTACTGAGATTTTACTAAAAACTGTTATGGTTTTTACTTAATGTGCTTTCTAGAATAAATCTTTGTTTGCTGTATGCCCTTAGGACAATTTTCAGAGACTTCAGATGACTGTTTTAGTAATTTTTACCAGTTGAGGTTGTTTTGCTGGGGAGTAGGTCTGTGAAGCTGCTCACACTATACCCTCCCCAGCAACCCACTTGTCCTCCATGAGGTTTTCTCTTTGGTACTGATGTCCTCCTGTGGTCCCATCCCACGCTAGGCAGGACTGACCGCGTGCTATTAGGACAAGGCAGAAAACAGAGCATGAACGTCCCAAAGTGAGGTCACAAAACACTGCAGCTTCTGCCCTGTTACTCCCTCCTGGGTCCCTTGGTCTGGGAAAACCCAGTTCTCTTTATGAGGACAAGCAGCCGACTGGTGTGGTCCTCATGGCAAGGAACTGAGGCCTCATCCCACAGCCAGCACACACTCGCCAGGCTGAGGGTGTGCCATCTTGGAAAGGAATCCTCCAGCACATCATACGACGTCCTGATGGCCACCTCATGACAGAGCCCAGCCAGAACTCCCTAACTCAGCCACTCTGGATTCCCGACTCAGAGAAACTGGGATGCAGAATGTGCTTATATTTTTAGTTACTAAGTTTTGGCTAATATTATAGTAATAGGTAATTAATACTTACTGATTAATCTTGGGTAAGACCCTTTGCTTATATGGTTTTTAATTTCTTCATCTGAATATGCTGCTAGACTAGCTCCGTGGTTCCACTGTCCTGCAAAGGGGCCTCTGATTCACAGTGGGGGCTCCCAGGCTGCTGGACGGGGTGGGGTGCTCAGTGGGTCTCCAGTCCCCAACCAGAGCAGCTCCACTTTCACGTCTCTTAGAAAATGGGCTCCAATATAAGATCTGATTTGAAGTATCTTTTGTTATCTTGGTTAGGTTCTTCTTTTACGCTTTGTGATTTCTTTAATCTCACACGCTTACTTCAGTTTAAATAGACATCCCCCAAGCCCTGTGTTTCCAGTGCCTATGAGCGTCACTGTTTAGACTCACACAGGGAGAGGACTTTCCCAAAGTTACACAGTGATTCAGTGATTAAGCGAGGAAAGGAGCCCAGGCCTCCTGACTCCCAGAAGGGATTATCTGTATGAGTGACATGGGGCGCTCAGAAAGAAAAGCATCACAAAAATCTTTAGGAAGCAAACAGTAGAACCTGACTTGGTTCTGGTACAGGGGGAAGAAAGTTAAAGCAGTAAGACTTGGAAAATGCTGTCCTATAGGAAGCGGGTGTGCTCATGCAGGAGCAGAGGTTAGTATTGGAAATCAAATAGCACTTACCATAGAGTTGGGTGCACGGTCACTACTGTGCAGTGTGGCCATCAGGCAATTCACCCATCAGGCAATTCACCAGCCCCTGCGGGCTGCTAGGCAGAGCCCGGGCTGAGACGCCGAGGTGAGCTCAGCCTTTCATTGATTGCCCCAGATGGTTAGCTCTCTCTGCTTCTCCCCTTACGTATGTTTACATATATCCATACATACACATATATTTAGCCTTATTCAGTGTTAACATTTTAAAAATTAATTGCCAATATTAAATAAGTAATTTCACATGTTACCTAGATTTCTGGGCTCCCGGTTCTTAGAATCCCCTGCCCCCCATTCCCTGTTCTTCCCTTCTGAGGCTACAAGCCAGCTGCCTTTGATCAAAGTCTAGACTATTTTCTCATACCTCAGCTTATTCATTTACTTGCCTGCCTGACCCTTGAAGGAAATCAATTCTGAGTCCCACCCCGGCCCCTCAGAACTCACTGGAGGCATGCCGCTTGACTTTGACCTGTGGGTCCACTCGATGGGACTTCTCACTGCAGGAGGAGGCATGGCGCTTCACCTGGGCCCCTGTGGGCCGCGGAGGCTCCTCGTCCTGGTGGAGATGGGGGAGGAAAGTCAAGTGCAGATCAGTTCAGACGCACCAACACAGAGGTCTAGACCAAGCTTGGTGGGTGAGCACTGTGGGGCCTCTGAGACCCCGGTCTTTCATGTTTAGATTTGTACAGCACTCAACAGTTTATAAACCATTCTCACAAGTAGCCTATCATTGGGCCTTTAAACCTTCCTGTGAAGGCAGGAGAAGGCAACCCTAAGCTGGAATAATCTGCCACGAGAAAAATTAGGAAGTCTTTAAAGACTTTGGGACTATATCAAATATAAAAAAATCATGGCTATTTTTGTCTACATATCCTTTGGAAGTATCTTTCAAATTTTCTTTTCCTTTTTTTTAAAGGATTTATTTATTTATTTATTTATTTATTTATTTATTTATTTATTTATACAAGCACTGGGTATAGTCAGAAGCATGGGAGGGTGAGAGGATTCACCAGAGCCAGAGCGGGGAGCAGAACAGGCAGACTGAGGAAATACACTGCTGAGGGGAGCAGCGGGCGCGGCAGGAGAGGTCTGTGTGCCATGTGGGACCCTCACCTGCGGCCGGGGACCGAACTGGCACTGCAGAGGCTGTGGGCAGCTTCGCAGCCCAGCGCTCAACCGCTGCGCCAACAGGGGAGGCCCAATCTTTCAAATTTTCTGAATTGCTAATATATAGTCACCAGTTAGAAAAGTCATTGATGAGATTAGCCAATGGGAGAAGTGAGGTAACTAGTAGACTGGCTATCCAGTTACTTATGAAGAGTATTACAAACATAAAATCCCATCAAGGCTCAGGAAACCAGGAATGGGACATGATACCAAGGTAACAGAGTGATGATTTTGAAAACAACAGTACTATTTACTTGGTTGTAAGTCCTTCTGATGTCCAGGCCCTGTGCTAAGTTCTCTGTATTTCGTTCAGTTCTTGCCTATCTCTGTGGGGCCAGCAAGTGAGACCAGAGAAGTGAAGCCCAAGGTAACTTCGACTCAGCCCTGAGTCCCAAGTTCTTAAGTACCAAACTTAAGAACTATACTCTGCAACTGAAAAAAATCTCAAGCTGCATGTACTGCCTCATCTGAGTCTCAACAACGACTGTTGAGTCCTAGCAGTGACAGCTCAAGAGTGTCGCCCAGCAACATCCAGGGCAGAGGCCCGGCCTGCAAACATATTCGCTGTCCTGGCAGCCTCCTCCTCCCCTCTGGCTGTGAGGCCTGATGCACAAGTGCATCTGATCAGTGTGGTTCTCTGGCCCTCCTGGGGGAGGAGCAGTCTGGGTCACATGAAGCCTCACTATAAATAAATGTCATCTCCTTGCTTTAATGAGCAAGACAGGGAGACTATCCTGGGGCTGTAGCCTGGACTGTGGGTGCCACCAGGGGAAGGCCTGTGCGGGTGACCCAGTTAGCGTCTCCCCAAGACACCACTGAATCAGCTGGATCACAGATGGGTAAATAGAGGCAGAGAGGCCAATGCCTCGCTCAAACTGGAGAAGTGCTGTGCTGCTCACAGAGCCCTTTCTTCCTAACTGCTCCTGCCAGAGGAGCTTTGGTCTGGGCCGTGGTCTGTGATGAGGCTCCTCCCCCACTCCCACTGCTGCTGAAATGAAAATGGTCTCTTGTGGCAAAGGAAGCAACAGGAAGGGAGAAAGGGAGGGGCGCTAAGGAGTGGCCACATTCCCTGCAGCCTAGGGACCATACCTGCACCTTCTCATAAGGGACGTCATCGTAGACCCGGGGCTCGGGCCACTGATCCTGGCAGGATCTTGCATATCTGGAAAATACAAGGTGTGATGATGACTACAAAGTGTTGCAGCTGGCAGTGCTTTCCTGTCCCCTCTCTCATTTGATTCTGGCCACAGTTTTTTTTTTTTTTTAAAGATTTATTTATTTATTTATATAAGCACTGGGTACAGTCAGAAGCGTGGGAGGGTGAGAGTATTCACCAGAGTTAGAGCGGGGAGCAGAACAGGCAGACTGAGGAAATACACTGCTGAGGGGAGCAGCGGGCACGGCAGCAGAGGTCTGTGTGCCATGTGGGACCCTCGCCAGCAGCTGGGGTTCGAACTGGCACTGCAGAGGCTGTGGGCAGCTTTGCAGCCCAGGACTCAACTGCTGCGCCACCAGGGGAGGGCCTGGCCACAGTTCTTAATGAAGAATGGAGGTTGGAAGGTTAGTTATAATCTCCCTGCCAGGGAGCTGTGTTGAGGGCTTCAGAGGCAGAGCCCCCTGGCTCTATATGCTGAGAACCCCCTCTACACGCTGAGAAGCAGGTAATTCAGCACCTCCACTCTAGAAAACAGGCTCCAAACTGGCAGGTGACCAGCTCAAGCTGAACTCCATGTACCACCCCATGCAGGCCCGATGCCCAAGGGCACGAGAACCTATACAGTTTGGTGTCAGGAGAGCAGAGCCCAGGCTACTATGCTAAAGGGCTTCTCCATGGTTGCTCCATCTATCCACAGTGTCCCCTGACCATGGGCTACCTCAGTTAGCTTCCTCCTGCCTTCTTGAAAAGGCAGGAACCCACTCTCACTTCCCAAAGAAGAGACTCTCCCTCAACCCTTCCTCACTCTCCTTTTAGTGCCCAAGGCAGCACTCAGAGGCCCTGGGGGAGCAGAGACAGGGTAGGTTCTGGGCCGCTGTGGGTGGTAGGGTATAGACCCTTACAGGAAGGAGTTGCGCCCGGCGCTGACGATGCTTGTTAAGGTCTCCACGTCCACGTAGTCATAGTGCAGCGCCTCAGGGGTGACTCTGGAGCCCATCTCCACCAGCAGCAGTCCAAGCCAGCGGCCCATGTCCTCGGAGCAGCTCGCCTGAGGGAGAGAGATACAGGCCAAGTCCACTTGGCACTGTCAGGACCTCTGGCTCTCTGCTCACTTCAGCCAAACCCTTATTATATTATGTTATAATACAGCCTATCAAACTGGACCCAGAACCCAAAACTTAGGGACCCAACAGGAACGAGATTACAATACACGTCCAGAAATCCAGGTGATCCCTGCTCTAAAGCCATCTCCTTTGGGAGGCCTTGCCCGACTTCCTCTCTAAGATACCTTACTCACTATCGTCAGAGCCTTCCCAGGCATTTAGATGGGAACACAACTTTTGGCCTTTCCCTGAGGTTTTTTTTAAATATTTACTTTTTATTAGAGGAGGCTATTTCTCACATAACCCAATCTTTTTTTTTTTTAAATATTATAGTTGCCAATATAGTACCATATACAGGAAAATCTCCAAGGAATTCCTGGTCAACTAAATACACTTTGGTTAGTTCTCATGTAAGCAACATTATTATAAAATCAACTTAGCATGCAATTGCTAAATTTGAATAAAGGAAGGACTTTTTGCCAGAAAGTGCTGTACAGAATTTAAGAGAGGCAAGAAACTCATTAAACTCTCAAAAATAAGAGTTACAGAGGTAATATTTCTTGAAATTGAAGAATGGAGAGAGGCAGTGGATACTGGGCAAAGCCAGTAAGAGCAAGAGGCCAGATTTCAGTTCTAGGATGAGACTAAGAGGCAGCTGATCCTCGGTGGAGCTTCAGAGAAAGCACTTGGCTGCCCTGGCCTCAGTTTCCTTATCTGTAATGTGAAGAGTAGTTCTGTAAATATTCCTCCAGTGTGAGCTTTTTAAATTCCAAATAGCCACAGGATTGACATGGAGAAGGGAGACTCAGCATATCCTGGATGGCCTCAGGGAGGAGGGCTGGTGCCACGGGGTCACCATGGGTGGCTGCCCTGAGAGCGCACTTGCGTCAGCCGTTTGTTCATTGAACTTTAACTGAGCACTTCATGTGTGTCTGACATCACAATGGGTTCTCGAAAAACACAAGTAGGCAGAACAGGTGTGGAGCTTGAAAGATCGCAACTCAATATAGGGAAAAGGTCCCTAAAACTCAGAGCTGCTTGATGGCAGGGGCCAGCTCCCCAGAAGAGAGGGCAGTGGTTGACCTGAGGGGATGGCCATGGGGGATGGTTTGAAGAGGGGATTTTAGAGCCCAGTGGGGTAAAATCAGACCAGATGCCTTCCAGGCTTGGGATTTCAAAATGAGGGAGGATAAACAACTTGGTTCCAGGGTTGCCCCATTTAGCAGACGAAAATGCAGAATGCTTTGTCAAATTTGATTTTCAGATAAACAAACTTCCAGTATAGGCATGTCCCAAATATTGCACAGGACAGACTCAAGTTAAAAACATTTGCTGTTTTATCTGAAATTCAAAAATGTGAGTATCCTGTATTTTATTTTTTTAAAGACTTATTTTTATTTATTTATGCATACAAAAACTGGGATATAGGCCAGGGGTGTGGGGGGTGAGTGGATTCACCAGAGACAGAGTGGGGAACAGAACAGGCAGACTGACTGAAATACACTGCTGAGGGGAGCAGCGGGCAAGACAGGAGAGATCTGCTGTGCCTTGTAGGTAACTCCCTGGCTGGGGATTGAACTCATGCTGCAGTGGCTGGCAATAGCTTGACAGTGCTGAGATTTTAATCCCTGCACCACCAGGCAGCCCTGAGTATCCTATATTTTAACTAGTGACCCTGCTCCGTCATTCAGCAACAGCTGGCCTCCCCCTCCTTTCTCAGGCCTCATAATGTCAGTGCAAAGTCCCCAGACAGGACCCAAGGCCCAGGCCCAGCTCAATCAGTTCCAGCCACCAATGACCCCAGGTTCTCCCTTCTCACCTCCAGGATGGCGACCTCCTGCTGATTGCGCAGGATCCTGAAGGCAAAGGGGTGCCTGGGGCCAAAGCCCGGGGCCACCTCACAGCCTCGGAGGGCAATGGCGTTCACGTGGGTGCGCAGGTCTGCACGGTCCTTGTGGAAATACAGTGTGTTGCACTTCAGGCAGCACCAGCGCTCCTTCCAGCCCTGGTTCACCAGCACGTTCAGATAACCTGTGGTGAGAGGAAACCGCAGGCTGGGTGGAGGCGCAGGGGCTGAGGCCACCCAAGCCCGCCCCCGGACTAACTGGCCCTCAATCTCCCCCAGTGATGGACTCTTGCCGGGTAAGTGTGGAATTTTCTGGTCAGCACCCATCAAGTTACCTTTTCTGTTGCCCAAAGGAAGGTGAGATGACCTCCTTTACATTCCATGTAGGAAGGGAAGCCTGACGTGACCCCTCTTCTCTTACCTCATCCTCTCTCTGCTTATAAAACCTTTCTGTAAATTGCTTTTCGTAGGATGGCCATTTTAATAAACATTGATTCAAAAGAACACCTGCACCCCTATGTTTATTGTAGCACTATCTACAATAGGTAAAACCTGGAAACAACCCAAATGCCCAAAAATAGATGACTGGATCAAGAAGATGCCATAAATACACAATGGAATACTGATATTCAGCAATCGAAAAAAAGATAGACTCATGCCACTTGCAGTAACGTGGATGGAGCTAGAAGGAATTATGCTCAGTGAAATAAGCCAGAAGAAAAAAGAAAAATATCAGATGGTTTCACTTATAGCAGGAATATAGGGGAAACAAATAAGACATCAGGGTAAAAATACTACTACTACTACAAAACACAACAAAACAAAAACTGACAATCATAAATCACAGACATCCTGCAGGGGAGGAGGAGGGAGGGAGATCAGAGGGAGGGAGGTAGGAGCACAGGGGACTGAGGTGATGGTGTACGGGTGCATTGGGGAAGGAAACTCTATGGGGACTACACTTGAGGGGCTGTTTAAAAATGAACAATGATGTGAAAAATTAAAAATTAAAAAAAAAGATTTTCTGGATCTCAAAAGCTGAAAAAAAAATAATAAAACCTTTCATTTCGTGGAGTTTTCTGGAACTCTCCTACTTACTAGAGAGATGCTGCCCTACTCAAGAGCTGTTTAATAAAATCAATCTGATCTTTAAAATCAACTTGGCTGAATTTTTGTTATTTAGCATCTGAGAGGGCTAGACCATCAATGTGACCCACCCCTCCCCCCGCCCCCCATAGCGCCCTGGAGAAACCCAAGGTCAGGGATGAAAGTGGCAGGTGGGTCTACACTCCGGACAATGCTCCGGGAAGACCCTTGCACTCTAGCTGGAAAGGAGGCTCAGTGTGACCTCACGTATCCTGGTCTCACTCTGGATTCCAGTTTCCTGTCTCTGACACGCTGATTATATGTGCACACGAGGGCACAGGCTCTGGGCCTCCCAGGCTCCGTGAGTAGGGCAGGAAGACTGTAAAATAAATGAAGGCCACAACTCTTCCCTCTTGCCTTTCTTCCCCCCAATACCAAAAACTGTCACTGCAAGGCAGGAAACAATGGCTGATCCTGACACCTGGTGGCAGCGTGTGGGAACAGACACTTCTAGCTGAGGTAAGGAATTGTAACACCACAGTCCCCAGGGGAAGGAATCTCCTCAATTCCTCTGAATATTTTAAATTTATTTTCTACCACCTCATGCTTGTATTCATCGGCTGAAAAGAATGTGTAATGTTTTTTTATTTACATAAGAGCTGGGGTACAGGCCAGAGTTATGGGAGAGTGAAAGGATTCACCAGAGACAGAGTGGGGAGCAGAACAGGGAGACTGACTGAAAACACTGCTGAGGGGAGCAGTGGGCAAGACAGGAGAGGTCTGCTGCGCCATGTGGGACCCTCACCCGGCAGGCGGCCGGGTATTGAACCAGGGCTGCGGAGGCTGCGGACAGCTTCACAGCACGGAGCTCAAACCACTGCGCCACCCGGGAGGCCCGCTAACATTTTTTTCTTAGGGTTAGCAGACCTATTACTATAGATTCAAAATATATGCTTTTCTATTGGATTCTCATACGTGGACCACTGCATTGACATGAACAAAATAACATGTCTTCCCTTCTAAACTATGTTTAACTGACATTAAGGGCATTTTTTAATGAAAAGTGCTGAAATGTGTTTATCCAAGAAATTTCTTTAAAAGACTGGCATGTAACTTACACACTTGGCGTGTTCCATGTTGGGAGAGAAACACTCCCCTCTCACTGTGGTGGAGGAACAGACCCAGACATAGGCAGTGATTTGAGCTAATGTCCCCGGGAGTACAAAGATAGGGGGTCAGGTGGCTTGTTCTGCTGAACGTTAGGGTCTCGTGGGGAGAAGCGACGGAAGGCGGGATGTGAATTCTGGCACCTACCACAGCACGGAACCTCCTCCTCAGCGGAGGACGTCTGCAGGTCATCAGCCAGCGCCTTTTTCTTGGAGAAGCTGATAATGCGGGTGATCTTGCGGCCCGCAGCCCTGCTCATTGAGCCCTTCAGCTCTGCCAGGCTGCTCTTCTTCCCCTTGCCTGTTACCATGGAGATGGGTCAGGGGACTGTAGGGACCCCCAATTCCCAGATCCATCTACCCCAGCCTCCCTCTGCCCTTTCAGCCTGTACACAGGGTCTGGTCCACAGTTCCAGCTGTGGATGGGCAGGTCACCTTAGAAGGTCTCCAGAGAGGTCAGCCCCCACTGTGCACTGAATGCCCCAGGCAAGCCTCCCCCAGATTGGCATTCTCACACCTGAGCCCCCAGAGGCTCCTACCATGTTCACGGCCAAGACTTGAGCAGTTGTCAGCCATGCCCAGGCTGTCAGAGTCTGAGGTCTGCTTCTCTTGGGACAGTCTCTAAAAAGGAACAGACAGCCCCACATCAGAGGCACAATAGGAGCCCCCTCTGGTGGGCTCAGTTTGCACATGATGGCTAGCTAACAAGCATTGGTCAGAGTAGACACGAATAACTATGAAGGGCCGACCCCTACCAGGACCACGCCAGGTGTCACCTGGAGGACAGCAGTGACTTAGGGTTGTTGGGTCTTCAGGTTCCTCACAGTTTATTTGGAGAGCAGGACAATTAATTACAATGCATTGCAATCAATACCTTAGGCAGGCGACAGGGAGCTGGGCGGGCACTGAATGGGATGCTAATGTAACACAATGGACTTAGGAAGTTGCCCCTGCACATGGGCATTCATTCACTCAGTCAGATTTCTCCTGAGCTGCTCCTGTTGTGCCAGCTCTGTGTTGGGCACTTGGGACTTACAGGACACCACCAGGGCACAGCCAGTGCTGAGTCTCCCTCCCTGACTCAGAGGAGCCCCACTGCGACAGAGGGTACCTTGTCCGGGTCCAGCCTGCACAGGAGGACTGGGGATCTGGGTGTGTCCACTCCCTCTGCTTTGACGGGCTTGCTCACCTCTCGGATAACCTGTGTGGAGAGAACGCACACTTGTGGGCAGGTGGGCAGGAATGCTGTGAAGGGTCTGCGTGGTCAGGGCCATTGAGCAGTGGGGGATCAGGGGACAGAAGAGATGGGTTGATATCATCTCCAACCACACCTGTAGGGGAGTGTCAGGGTTTGAGAAGGTTCTCCAGAACCTGTCACTTGAACTGAAAAGACTGGGTCCAGGAATCAAGAGGCTTGGCTTCTATATCTGCTGCCAAGGTACATAGTTGTGTGGCCTTAGGAAAGTCATTTACCCTGCTCTGGGCCTCAGTTTCCCTGTCTCTCTTCTGGGGGTGCTACTGGTCCTTTGTTAATTCATTTCCTTGGTCTCTGAGGACCAGTGAGATGATGGATGTTCACCCTGTGAACTGGATGCCTCACGTGAGGGTGAGGGACTGGCTGATGAGACCACCATGGACCATCCGTGGGGGGCAGCCAGGGTGGGCACTCAAACTCTAAGGTCAGGCAGCATAAGCTTCAACATTGTAAAATAATGGCCTTTGCCTGTGGTTCACCTCTCAGTTGCCTCTACATGGACTATTCCACTGTACCTCCACAGTAGCCCGGGGGGCAGAGACCACGTGATCCCCAAGGTACAGATGAGGATGAGGCTCGGTGGAGAAGCCAGGTTAGCAGGTCTTAAACTCTGGGCTAATAGTGTCTCAGGATGGGGAGGTCAAGGCAGGTCTCTGGGTCTAGGGCTTCTTCTGAGAACTCAGGGGTCCCTGGAGCACAAATCGCTTCCCCCTCTACACCCCCAGCAAGCTGGTTCTCTCCCTTCCTTCCCCTCCTGAGACAAAGGCAGTAATGGGAAACACTGAACATTCCAGGGAGAGCAGGCTATCACAGGAAGGAAGGGAGGAAGGGGAGGGAGGTGTTTGGTTTCTTTGTTCCAGCAGGAAAATCAGAGGTGGCCAGGGAACGGTATCAGAGTGAAAGAGAGGCAGGATGCAGGGATGGAGACCTGAGGGAAGGCCGGGTGGCCACGTCACCACCATCACACAGCCACTGACAGCCACGGTGTGCCTGCTGCCTAGTGGGCTGTGTCACATGCTCTCTAGAATCCTTACAAGAACCATTTCACAGAAGAGAAAGTGAGGCGCAGCAAGGCGAAGTCATCTGCAGGAGATCACTGGCCAGTAAGCGCTGCTTGGCCTGAGACGTGAGCTTGTCTGTGTGCTGCCTAAGTCCTCCCTCCTTGTACTCTGCCTCTCTCCAATGGCCTTAGGAGATTTCCTGGTTGGTTACTAAATATGAATCCAATCACTTGGTGGTGTGACCTTCGGCAAGTCACCTAAGTTCTCCGTGCCTCAGTTTCCTCACTTGTAAAGTGGGAACAATAATGGTCCCATTGTGAAGGTTAAATGAGGTCACAGAATAAAGCTCTTAGCACAACTGGTGGTGCAAACACATACTGAGCAAGTGCTCACTCTAATTGTTCTAGATGCAGAAGCTGGACCACTGGTGGGTATGAGAAGGGTACACATTTCACCAAAGTCAAGGTAGGAGCTTTTTATAAGGGAAAGAAAAAGGATTTGCTGACCTGATGATATCATCAGCTTGCTTTGCAGATAATAAGCTCCCCGTTACTGGAGGTATACAAGTGCAAGCTAGACAAGCCCACAGTGGGGATATTAGGAAGCAGATTCAAATAACTAGAAGGTACATAATTCTCCAGCCTGAGGTCTTTTTCCTGTCTTGGGAAACATTAAGGCCTATTTGCATATAAGGTCAGTCACCCTAGCCGTACACAAGGTGCTGACTCCATCCCCTGACCAAGGCCTGCTCCTCAGGGACAGCAGCCCTCTCCACTGAGGTCAGAAGCTGGGGAGGGAGGAGGAAAGGTTGGAGGGCAGGTGGGAGAAGACTTGTACTCTACCTTCAGCCACTCTTCGGCCTGCTCCCGGCTCTGCAGAGCCAGCACCAAGACCTCGGTAGCCCCTTGGGAGAAGCGCAGCTCATGCCTTTTGTGCCGGCTGTCCTTGGGAACATAGATGACACTGCAGGTGTCCAGTGCCAGCCTCAGGTGTGGCCGCTGGTCCTTGGAGCTTTTGTAACACTGGAAGGTGAGAGAAGGGGTGAGGGCTTCCTGGAGGGGAGGGTGGAACACCAAGGAGCTGGACATGCCCTCCAGAGACCTCCCCTACCTAGCTCAGTGGGGAGCACTACATGAGAACAGGGTCTATGGCTGTTCACCCCAAAGAAGAGAAATCTGGCAATGATGAGATTGAGAGGGGGGCATCTTTGGACAATCTTAAAAATCCAAAGGCTATAAAGGAGCCCCAGGGTCACCACTACCTGTTTAGGAAGAGGCAGATTTTAGCACAATACTAGATCACTCTAGTCTAAGCCAGAGAAGAAAAAGACTGGTTTGGGAAGAAGCCAGCCCCCTGCCCAAGGGCTACATGGCAGGAATGTGGGAGAGGGGATTCTAGCAGATATGGAGGACTGGGTTTGGGAAATCATTGATAAATAATAATCTTCACTTCCCAAGTCTTTTTTAAAAGATTTATTTTTTATTTATTTATGTATATAAGAGCTGGGATGTAGGCCAGAGGTGTAGGGGGTGAGAGGATTCACCAGAGACAGAGTGGGGAGCAGAACAGGAGAATTGACTGAAATATACTGCTCAGGGAAGCAGGTCTGCTTTAACGTGTGGGTAGCTCCCTGGCCAGGGATGGAACTTGTGCTGCAGTGGCTGCCGACAGCTTGATAGTGCTGAGACTTAACCCCTTGTGCCACCAGGAAGGCACCACTTACCAAATCTTATTATGAGGTGAACATTACCTTAATACCAGGCTCTGACAATGACATTACAAAAAGATTATAGACAAACTTCTTATAGTTGCAAAAGCCCTAAACAAAATATTAGAATAGAATCCAGAGCACATATCAAAAGCATACTGCGTCAAGACCAAGTGTGGTTTATTCTTGGAGTGCAAGAGTGGGTTAGCATTCAAAAACCAACCCTATCATTCATCAGAGTAACAGAAAAAAAAGAGAGAGAGAGAAACCACATATTTCAGTAGAAGCAGAAAAGATACTTGATAAAATTCCAAACCTATTTTTAATATAAACTCTTAAGTAAAGTAGGAACAGAAGAGCACTTTTTTAATGTGTAATAAAGGCACCCCTACAAACAACTCACAGCAAATATCAGCCTTGATAGTAAATTGTTTAAATATTCCCTTCAAGACTGAACCGAGACAGGGATATCTGCTCTTACCACTTCTATTTACATTGTGCTAGAGTCCTTGCCAGTGCAATAAGGCAAGAAAAAAAAAAATAGAAGACATAAGGAATCAAAAGAGTTAGTTGAGACCCTAAGACTGGTTCTGGCCTTGGATGGTTTCCCGCTACTACAGGGTAAGAAAGGGCTGCAATTCAAATGGATGTGTTGGGTAAGGTGTGTCAACAGATTTTTGGGTAAAGAAGTATCACTTTTTTTCTTGGAATTTTCCTCCTACTTTGGAAATAAGTGTACATTTTCTTTTATGAAATGCTAGCAATGAGAGATAGTGAATTTTTAAAAATCATAAAAAATTAAGTTCTATAGTAACAAGCAGTGCGTGCGTTCAATTTAAAACAGATGTATGGACATGAGGACCGAGATATGCATATGAAAACTTAACCATGGCTAGTTCTTGGTCAATGGAATTAGAGATGGCTTTTTCAAAACATCACTTTTCATTTTGTTTTTTTCCAGTTTTATAAACAAACATATTAACCTGAATCATGAAAAATAATCAGCTTGTTTGAAAGTGATCGAAAGTTTACCTATGGCAAAACAAAACTTGGTCAAGTCTATATCAGGTCTTTGAATTATTCCCCACCCCCTTGTGGGCTTTCTTTTTTTGAAATTCTGCTTGAGTGGGAGAGCCTCAATCACCAAAGCACAGGCTTTGTGTTTCTGTGCACAAAGCAAGTCCAGAGGTATAAAGGTAGATATCCTTGAATGCACATGCCCCACCTGCCTGACATATGCATGTGCACACACGTGTACACGTGCACACACACACACACACAAAACCATGTGAGGCTGAGAGCACACAGCTGTGGCCACTCACCAGGAGCTGGTCCTCCTTGATGACAGTCAGCTGCTTGGCCCATTGCCCGAAGCGCTTCTTCCGCAGCAGGAAGGCACATATCCTGCAATCCCTCACCAAGTGCATGGAGGCCTCTTCCGAGGGCCACTGGTGCGTGGGCTGCGGCCCCTTTCCTTCCTCTTCTTCCTCATCATATGACTCGTAGGAGCTGCTCATCGCGTCAGAGTCATTGTCTGCAGGGCCCAGGGAAGCACCTGTCACGGGCCATGGCCCTGGAGGCACCTGCTTCGGGCGACCCTCTCCCAATGGGGCCATGAGGGGTGGGCGTGAGGTGTGATCATGGCGATCACCAAACCCCATTTGCACTGTATTCTGCAGATTTACCACTGGTTTTGTGATTTTGGCCATTTTGCTTCTTAAAGCTTCAGTTTCTTTGCAGTAAAATGGGCGGGGCCCATGCAGTGCCTACCCAATTGGGCTACTGTGAGGGTCCGTGAAAGCAGGGTATTCAGCCAATGACTGCACTGGATGAGGACCAGCTCCTGGTGAGTGGCCACAGCTTGTCATGACATCTTCATACTCATGCCTAGTTGGACCTCACAGCGCCCAGCAAACCCTTGGTTTTATGCAGAAACTGGAGGCTCTATGAGAAAAAGCGCTGCCTAAGGTCAGTCACCACGAGTCAGGTGAGGGCTCGAGCTTGGACTTCTGACTCCCCTGCCAGTGGCCTTTCCACTGAACCTGGAATCACTGAGAATAAAGTCTTTGGGGTCTCTGGGTTGACCCCACAGGATGAGAAGCGGGGGGCACCTACATGCCATGGGGCAGGTCCGGGCTGGCTCTTGGAGGACAGAACACAGCTGTGTGCCCACCCAGTACTTACAGGAGTTTTTCAGCTCCCCGTTCATCCTGGTGGCAGGGTAGCTGCTGTCAGCATCCTCATAGTAGCCATCCATGATGGAGTGGGCGGGGCTGCAGCCATCTGTGGGGTTGGCAGAGGAGCCACTCGTTGGACAAATGCAGGCAGACTCCAGTGGTCAGGGCTAGGGATGCCTCTGGACACTGGCCCCTCTTCAGGGAGGAGGGAGAGGGCTTCTTGCAGGGCTGCTCCTCTGTATCTCACCTGCTCTGGTTCGCCTCATGCCCTCTGAGCTCCTGTTACCAGGGTATTTCCTACTGGGCCCTGCCATGCCTCTAGGTTTATGTTGATGCTATTCCCTGTGCTCTTTTAGCTTCTGCTAGAGAACTCCTACTTATCCTTCAATACCCAGCTCAAAGGTCTTTCCTCTGACTTTCCAGGTAGAGTAGTCAGCCCCTCCTCAGTGACCCCAAGCATGAATGTGTATGACTGTGTGTGTTTCTTGGTCCCAGCTCTGACCCCTGTCCTGTTGAGAGTGGTGTCGTGGACGCCCAGGCTCAGACCCATCCCCCATCTCCTCCCCACCCCCATGCTCTGCCTATATATGGGTTAAAGATAGGAATATGTCCTGAGAAATGTCCTTAGGGGATTTTGTCCTTGTGCTGACATCATAGCGTGTAACTAACAAATCTAGATGGTATAGCCTACAACACACCTGGGCTGAATGTGGTACAGCCTTTTGGAGCCACCATCGTACATGTGGTCTCCCGCTAACCAAAATGTCATTAAGCAGCATGTGCTGATACAGCTCCCTCCTCTGGTCACAGTGATTCTCCTTCTATACTGTGAAGAGGAACTGGACTAGAGGAGAAAATAGTAATGCAGGCAACATGACTAAAACAGCGGCTTATACTGAATTTTTACAACACATTCCCATTCATGGCTGGGAGACTGTACAATGCAGGCATTTGGGATATCTCAAATTGTATTTTGCATCAAATTACAGGGGAATGGTTTGTGGCTTAAAATGCAGATTCCTGGGCTTTATCCTGGATCTGATTTACTGGGGTGGACTGGGCTGAGGCACTTCATTTATAACAAAAATAACAGGGCATTTCTAAACATATGTGAAAATGGAAAGTACACTGAATTCTAAGGAATTATATTTAAAAATTGTTATTTTAATGCAGATGGTCTCTGGAGAACACCTTAAAGTTCAGTGGTTAAAGGCTCGTGATTTGAGGCTGATCAGATTTGAGTTCAAATCCATTGCCACTGTATTGAGTGACCTTGAAAGAAAACAGTTTCTCTGTATTTCAGATGCTCCAGCTATAATGTGACACAAACAGTCCCCCCCGAATTAGCAATCTGAAGCACATGAAATCTCAGCGCAATGCCTGGCACATAGACGCGCAAGACAAATGCCAGATATCACTATGGCTGCCATCTCCTCCATTGCCACAACACAGGGGGTCACTATCAGCCCCATTTTACAGAGGAGGAAACTGAGGTCACACACATTTGCTATGATTGAACCTGGATGAGGGCTGAGGTGGCCAGCCTGGGGGACAAGTGCACATCCCCTCCTCCAGGAAGCCTTCCTTCACCAGTCCAACTCGTTTCCACACTGCACAGTTCTTCAACCACTGCTCTGGGCTCCCAGCCCCCATAATCCATCTGTTTCCTGAGGTCAGCAGCACTCAAATTCCCAGTGATGGGGACCCCAGTTCTGGCTCCCAAATGAGGCTCTGAGCATGCCTTGCCCTGTAGGCACTCTGAGGTCTCAGTTTCTGGCAACATCTCCTGAGAGGTGGAATGGGGGTCAGGGCAGAAGGCAGGGTGGGGGAGGAAGAGCTGCAGTGGGGAAGAGAAGTGGTACACAGGTCAAAGTGCCTGGACACCTGGCAGGGCCCCACACTGTGAGAGGAAGGACACTCCCTGATGGGTTTGGCGCTCTTTCCCTGGAAGAGGTCCTGGCCCTTCCTGAGACCCTCCCTTTCCTCCTGCCCCCACCGGAACCCCACTGCTGGAGGGAGGCAACCTTTCTGCCCCATGGGGAGGGGAGTGAGCTCTCTCTGGAGGTGGAGGAGTCTTAGCCCTGCATCCCTTCTTCCTCCCTGCCTTTGAGTGGATAAAATAAAGTCACCTGCTTCACATAAACAGCTGCTTTTGGTGACACAGATCCCCGGATTATCAAGGCTGCTGATAATCTGTTCCTATTCCATAATTTCACTTTACTTTTACTACTTTACTGATCACAAAAATAATATATCACAATACCCAAAGGCATCCATCAGTAGACAAATGTTAAAACATAAGGTGGTCTAGCTACACAGTGGAATATTACTTGACCATAAAAAATACGGGTGCATCAATGACACAGTTGAACCTTGAAAACATGATGCTAAACGAGAAAAGTCAGACATAAATGGTCACATTATATGATTCTATGTGCAAGAAATATCCAGAAAAGGCACATCCATAGAAACAGTAAGCTGATTGGTGTTAGGCAGGCGCTCTGGGGAGAAGGAAATGGGAGTGAGTGCTTATTGGGGACAGGGTTTCCTTCTGGACTGATGAAAGTATTTTGGAGTTAGTGCAGATGCCTGTACAGCACTGTGAAGGCACTAAATGCCACTGATTGGGTACTTTACGATGATTGAAATGGTCAATTTTATGTTACATGTATTTTTACCACGATAAAGAAAAATATATACCCCCAGTGAAAAGTACAATCAGTATAAAAGAACATAATAGGGAAAATAGGTTCCCTTCACCCAGATTTCATTCTATTTCCCCCAGGAAAATACTGTTAAGAGTTTCTTGCACAGCCTAGAGGATGTGTTAAAATAAATGCAGGTGACTGTGTGCCCTATTACAACAAACAGAACCACGTACTAGGCAGTATTCTGTGTCTGATTGTTTTTCTATGACTATCACTTGGAACCACTTGGGATTGGCACAGACTGACATACAGTATTTGCTTTTGGTAGTTGGAGAATGCTCCACCATGATGCAGAATGAGGGGACAGCAGCACAAACCTTGTCTTGCCCTAGTTCAACTTCACCTGTGGGATCATCCCAAAACCACTATGTAGGGTAAATGGTTTCTCAGGCTTTCTGCCCTCCTACCATTAGGATTGCCCCTGTCTGATGGGGCACCTGCAGTTGTTACATAGTTGTAAACTGTCTTGTTTACTTCTGTGGGCCATGGAAAGAGTATTCAGATAGTCACCAACAGAAGCAGAAGCAGAGGCAGGAGAGAGAAGGGGCAAAAAGAAGCCAGAGAAGCCCAGAGTGAAGACTTGCCTGGGGCTTGGAGCCTACTGGCCTCCTGGCCCCCTGGCACTCCTGCCTGCCATGTACCTGGTTACTGCGCTGCATGTAAAGCTCAATAAAAGCCTGAGAAAGCCACCCAGGGCTCCAAGACTCTCCTTTACCCATCTGCTGGATCAGAAAACCTGCTCAGTGCCCTTCCTGCCCCTACACATGGGTAGTAGCTCTTTGTGTGGAATGCTAAGTCCCCAGGCCCAAGCTGGACACACATCTGATTCTCAAAAATGACATATCTTGATTCTTAAGCCCCAGCTGCAATGCTGGAGGAAACCAACAGTCAAAAGAGAAGACTCCATTGTGGCTGATTTCAGAGAGATTTTTTCAAAGGTAATTTGTACCTGTAAATGATTTCATTCCTCACCTATCAGTAAAAATGTAGAAATGTAACATTTATATTTATGTACAAATTACCTGTGCACATGTACACTCATTACAAATACGCTATTAATAGATTATAAATACTACAAAACATTCATATATAAGTTTTAAAAAGATGTGCTCAAGTAAACATATATAAAACTTCTAACTCTTCTGTCTACAACATCTCATGAATTCTTGGGTGTCCACACTGATTTAGACCACAAGCTTTTTAATCTTATGTACTGACTTTATAACTGAATCCATCTATCGGATATGATTCTGCTGAAACACAAAGTATTTCTTTTTAATAGTTTTTTTTTCCCCTTTAAGATTTATTTATTTATTTATACAAGCACTGGGTACAGTCAGAAGTGCGGGAGGGTGAGAGAATTCACCAGAGCCAGAGCGGGGAGCAGAGCAGGCAGACTGACGAAGTACACTGCTGAGGGGAGTAGCGGGCGGCAGGAGAGGTCTGCACGCCATGTGGGACCCTCGTCTGGTGGCCGGGGATCGAACTGGAGCTGCAGAGGCTGCGGGCAGCTCTGGGGAGGCCCAAAACACAAAGTATTTCACCAACCCACTCAGGTTAGCACCAGATTCAGTGCTAGGACTGTGTGGCATCAGTCAGCCATGTTCCTACATCCTGATGCACTGATACGTGTGTATCTAGGCCCTCTTTCCTATATTCAGGGTAGGGGGACTGAAGCCCAGAGCAGAGGTGTCCAAGGCCTCACCCAACTGGGATGAGAACCCAGGCCCCCGAAGCAGGCCCTGCCTGGGGAGGCCAGGTGCTCAGGCAGCCCCTCCACCAGAAGTGGCCTTGGCTGGGGGGACCCTAGGGGAGATCAGGCCCGGAGCCTCAGGAGACAAGCCCTGTACTTACTGTGGGAGCTGATGTACTCGGGGGCCTTCCCAGGCCCAAGGGGAAGGGCCTCCTCATAGTAGTCCTCAGGAGGAGGCCTGTTGGGGAGAGGTGGAGGCAGGTCCGTGGCCTGCAGAGGGACAAAGGAGGAATGTGAGACCAAGATCACCAGGCTGGTAGAGGAGGGGGGTCAGGTAGAGTAAAAGGAGGGGAGGATCTCCCAGAAGGCAGGTTGAGGCTCTAGAATGTGAAACATTGTTTCTAATGGAGTTGAAGCAAAGCAGAGCTGAGAAACCTGGAGAGTTTATTTGACCCTGAATTTCTTTCACCAACTGTTTAAGCATTGGGTTCCTCAGCAATACCTACATGTTTGAGGGACTGCCACATAAAAGCAGTTGTGCTTTAGACCGAGCACAAGCAGAATGATCAACAGCTATTGTGAACTCTGCAGTGTCTGGAACCTGCATATGAGTGAGGAACAGCAGGACAAGTAAATGTGAGACCTGCCATTTGGGAGGCGCTAAGTGGCACTAAGAACCTGGGGCTCTGGGCCTGGAACCCCAGCTTTACAGTTAAGGTCTGTCACTTGCTACTGCGGGCAATGTCACTGACATGTCACTGACATGTCACTGACATGTCACTCTCTCTGAGCCTCAGTTTCCTTACCTATGAAACCGGACAACAGTCGTGCCAACCTCAGCTGCTGTGAGCGTATAAAGGACACAGTAAGTGATCAATAATTGGTACTGATGATGGTGAAGATGATAGTGACTTATGCAATCAACAGACAATGCTTGATGTGATGATGGGCCCCTTAACTTAATTCCATGGACCCAAGTCTGGGAACCGTGGATCTGGTCCAATCCTTCATTTTGTAGGTGAAAACTTCAGGCTCAGAGGGGGTAAGTAACTTGCCGGTGGCTACCGGTGGCTACAGAGCAGAAAGGAGAAGGGCAGATGTCCCCCAGCTCCCCATCCAGAGCATATGCCATTCCTTGTCTGTATTCCTGCAATCAGAGGCTGGGGTGGGATGTCCTTTGGGCAGAGGGGCCCAGTCAGTTCCCCACTTTATCCCTACTCAGCACAGGCATGGGGAGAGCAACATGGGCCGCTGTAACGCTGTGTCTGCCTTAACTACCACCCGCTAGAGAGAACAAGGGCTTCCCCAGCGGTACGGGGTAAGCTCCCTTGCGATAGGACAGCGGCTGAGGGCATGGAACTGAGACCAAGACTCACATTTCTCAGGCACGGGCTCTTGGCTGGCTCAGGGCTGGCTCCTTTGCTGGGCTCCCCCTCGTCCTCCGGCATGTCGCGAAGGTCACTCAGGTCACAGTCTGTGGAAGGTCAGGGCATTGGGTACAGGGATCTGAGGATGAGCATGGCAGAGCAGGCAGAGAAGGAGGGGACTAGAATTGGGGTCGGGAGGCCTCCACCATCCCCTTCATTAGTGACACTGAGTAGTGACCCCATCCTGTCTTCTCGTCTGTAAACTGCAGGCAACAATCCCTGCCCCATCGAGCGCCCAGAGGATGAAATGAGAGAACAATTGCTGTGGGACCTGGGAAATTCTCAAGGTTATGTGCAGGCACAGTGTCCTTCCGAAGTCTCCCGTGTCCACCACGCCACACTGGTCCATCCTGGCTCCACTTTCTGCAGAGCTGCTGGATTCTCAACCCGCCACCAGGTGGCCACTCGGGGTGAACCGAGTAGCAGGCCAGAGGACACCCCGTGTGTGTTATACCTTCTTTGACCTGTGTTCACCCCTCCCTCTTTCCTCACATCTCTGGGGCGATTATAATTATGCCAGAATGGGCTTTCGGGACTGGCAGGGCCCAGAAAGGCCGAGGGACTTATCCAACGTGACTCTGTTGTGGTGTCAGAGCCGGGGGCAGGTATTTCCCATCCGAACTGGGGGACCTTCCACAGACTGACAGGGTCATGTAATGAGGGGGCAGCTCCCAGCCCAGGCCAGGAGAGGGCCACCTACCAAATTCCTCAAAGAGGGACTCCACAAAACTGGGCCCGGAGTGGAGATCTGCTGTGTTCACATACAGGTAGGAGACTTCTTTGGCTGCAAGGAAGAAGGACACGGGGCAGTGAGGAGGGAGCAGATCTCCCGCCCGCCCAGACTTCTGTCCCACACTGGACACAGCCTCAGTTTGCAAACAGTGTGCACATCCTAAAGTATTTCCCTTTGTTTTTATTTTTGACGTGGTTACTGATGACCTCCTTCTCCAAGTGAAAGGAGCCCCTGGGCCCCTTGGAGAAGGCAGAGAGAGGGCTGTGCTGGGGACAGCAGGCCCAGGGGCTTGGGGACCACAGGCCAGGCAGGACGCTGCCTGTCGCCCTCTTTGAGGGCAGGGTGATGGCTCGCTGTCTGCTGGACATGAGGCGCAGAGTGACTTCCTACCACGTCATTCAGACCGTCCAGCCCCGGGGACTCAGGGACAGCTTGCCGGGTTCACATATGCCACCTCGGGGGCTGGCCTGGGGTGTAGTGGCCAGGGCAGAGAGGAGGCCTTGCTGCTGAGCAGACAGCGAGAAAGAAGCCATGGGAGTGACAGCGGGGCACGGGTGTAGCGTGTGCGCATTAGCGTGCTGCAGGGGACAGCGTGAGATGTGAGCTGTCGTGGCATGTGTGTTATATGTGAAGTGCGTGTGAGGATGCACTGTGTGGGAGGGGCAGTATGCACACTAGTGTATGTTGCATGCTGTGCATTTGTTATATAGGTGAGGAGGGTGTTGTGTGTTGTGTCTGTATGTGCATGCATGTGCTCTGTTTCTGGAGTGGGCTGAGGATGGAGGAGAACATAGAAGGCCTGAGGCAGATGAGGACACTGCTCAGACCAGAGAAGTGTTGAGGGCCAGCTACAAGGCTTATCCTTTCGCCAATGGGCCCTGGGGCAAGGAAGGCTCTTGAGGAGCTGACCTGGGAGGGGCTGCAGGTTCTGCAGGATGGAGGCCACGGCCATCTTCTTCTGCAGGGCGGTGTCACTGAGGTACTCATGGTCCAGGAGGCTGAGCAGCCCGGTGATCTCGGGAAGCAGCTCCTCCAGCACTGAGGAGGAAGGGCCGGGGGCATGTGAAGTTCTGAGGCCTGAGTGCCGGCCCTGCGCCACCCTCTGCAGTGAGGGAAGTGAGGCCACAGGCCCGGGCAGACGAAAGAGTCGACCTCAGAGGCCCTCACAGCTGTCCCCGGGCTGGCTGCCCAGCCTCCCCTGGGAGAGCCATGTTCAGTTAACCATGATGTTTCTCTGGGCCTCCTGCTCTACCTTAGGTCTCATTTGGCCTGAGGACTCACCCTCTTGGGCTCAGCTGGCAGCTCTGGGCCCAGGTAGCCCCCGAGCAGGGGCATCTAGGCCTTCCTTTGGCCCAGCCTTTCCTCTGCTTTGCAGGCCCAGGGGTCCGTCCTCATTGAGGTCCCTGGCTCAGTATAGGTTCCAAGCTGCAGCCCGGCTGTCAGGACACAGGCAGGAAGGAAGCCTTCCTGTCCCATCTGATCATATATTTCAATCTCTGGAAACTTCTGTTTCCGGTGCCTTGGTGGAAGCCAAACTAAACATTAACCCTTCCCATCCCAGACCCTAAAATATGGTCACCATTCTTTATTTCCATGCCACACCAGTATTTCTCAAACTTGAATATATTCAGGTATCACCTGGGGACGTTGACACAAGGCAGATTCTGACTCAAGGGGCCTGTGGTGGGACCTGAAAGTCTGCATTTCTGAGAAGCTCCCAGATGTTCTGCAGGCCAAGACCACAGGGAGTTGCAAAGTCCAAAGGAGAATTCTTTAAAGCCTGGAGCATGCCAAGGCCATGATGTCACTAATGTCTCTCTGTCCCCAATAGGGAGTAGGGGCTTGGTTTTCCTTGGACCTAAAGACCAACTTCATTACAGTACTAGTATTGTCCAACTTTGCAACTTGCCAACAACTTGTGCATAATCATAAAAATTAAACTTGGGGAACAATTATTTTGAACTGTGCTAAGCCTTTCATACTTATAGTCTCATTTAAATCTCACATCAAGCCTTTCACTAGTTCTATTATATGGAGGATGACACTAAGGCTCAGAGAGGTTAAGTAACTTCTTCAGGCTCACACAGCCAGCAGACCATGGTACTATAACACCTGGCAGTATTTTATACAATCCTACTAAGTTTTGAGCTAGGTCCCATGATCACCCCTGCTTCTTAATTAAAGACACTAAGGCTCAGTGATAAATAAGTTGTTTTCAGTTACATGGAGACATGCAGAAGAGCCAGGACCCCCACCCCGGGTCCTCCTGTGGACGTGGTGAGCCCCTGACTTGTAGTTACAAGGTCTGGAGGGATGAGGGGCTACAATATGCTGACGGGAACCAGCCATAGAGTCAGACTGTCTGGCTTCAAGTTCAGGCACAGTCACTCATTAGTGATGGCGCCTTTGGCAAGTTACTTAATGTATGACTTGGTTTCCTCCTTAGCAAAGTGGAGAGGGGGGAGTCTGGAGCACCAGCCTCATGGATTTTCTGTGAGGATTAACTCTACCAGGTGTGAAAAGCGCCTTGCCCTGTCCATAGTAAATGCTCACCCCAAGTGGGCCACTGCTTCCTCTTACAGAATCTGCCTCTCTGACCTGTGGGGTGTGGGTCCACGTGCCTCTGTGTCTGTCTTCCTCAGCAGGCTGTGAGGCTCTAGAAAGTATAGCCAGGGCTGTGAACAGCAGCTTCCTCAGCATCTGGCCTGGAGCCTGCTCAGTGTGGGCACTCTGTGTGTGTTTGATGAGAGAAGGGATGACCAGAAGACCACACCAGGGCTTTATTTTTTTTTTTTTAAAGAAATCTTAACACAGAGAGTGGCACTTCTTAGAAAAACGTGATGTTGCAGTCTCTCTGTGGCATTCCCACTTTTACTCAAATTTGTTGAGTAAAATAAAGGCTGAAACTGGCCAGCTCCCCCTCATGAGCTCTGCTCACCACTGGACACTGTCCACATGTGTCCCATCGAATGTCCACGCCCCTCTGTGGGGAGGCACTAAAGAGGCGGCCACTCGTATTCCCAAGCCAAGATGAGACAGTGCCGAGGCCAGCCGAGGCATGGCTGTACGGCTCCAAAGAAGTGGCGTGGGGCTGATTCCAAGTTTGCATGATTTGCACAATTACAGGGGGCGCTGCTCCTCTTGGAGACCAAGTGCAATGTGCCTGGCGGGCCCACTGTTTACAAAGCTGGAGCCCGCCCTCGCCATGCCATGCCAGTGAGGGTTCTTTGAAGCAGAAAATTATTTAAGATCTTTTAACTCCAATGTCAGCGGTGGTGAAGGCAACCTTTTCAAATGGAATCACAAATCTTTCTGGCACCCTTAACAGGCACACTAAGAGTCAATTAATTCTAAAATCTTTGCTAAGCACTAATAATGTGCCAGGCTGGCCAGTGGGGAATTAGAAAATAAACAAGTAGAATTGAATACTAGTGCAAATTAGAAAAGATTGAGGATACAGTGGGCATTCTCTCTCTCTCCTCCTCAGCGCCACCCCCATAACTACGGATGAGGAGGCCAAGGTAAATGCATGTGGCCGGGAAGTCACCGCGGGACACCATGGGAGCCTGTGTCTGTCTCTCTCGCTGTCTCTCTGCTGTGAGGTTGCACCCATTTCTTCTTGCCTCTCTCATTCCTGTTTCTAAAAGCTCTCCTGCTTCTAATTTAAGGTTTCTTACAATTTCTGCTAAAGTAAGACAATTTGCGGGAGCTCTCTGCATTTCAATCATGAGCTTTAGCACCCAAGTTCTATAAAATCTTTTCTTCCACTTTTTTCCTGCTTCTTGATGGGATTCTTAAAGTGGAATCTTGACTACTATGCTTTTTATGTGGAACTGAGGTGTGATCACACAAGTCCAAATAGAGCAAAGAAAGCAGGGACTGAGTGAGGAGGAAGCAGCAGGTGGGGGGTGGGGCTGCCAGTGCTGCTGGCTTTCTGCAGCCTGGAGGGAATCAGGGGCAGTAGGTAGCAGAGGGACCCTCACGTGGGTCCCAGGGCGGTGGGCAGGAGTGTGTGAGCAAAAGCTCAGTTTGCAGGCAGGGTTGGCAAGAACCCTTCTGGAGCTGAATGGGTGCTAGGCAGTTAGCTTGAGTCACCGCAGTCCCCCTAAGCCCCACAAGAGGTACACAGTGTTACTATCTTTGCCCTACAAAGGGGGCAGGGGACAGAGGCTCAGAGAAATAAGGGCACCCAGCCAGTAAGCAGTAAGGCCAGTTCTTGAGCCTAAGTGTGACTTCAAAGTTTGCACCCCTGTGCCTGCTTCCTCAATTGGACTTGGGCTCCAGGCAGGGGAGGTCAGGATCAGGAGAAGGCAGGCAGCCCCTCAAAGCCCTCCTGCTGAGGAGCCCAGGTCAAGACCTCTTTGATACTCCTGACCTGGGTGGGTGGCCCCCCACCCCCATTGTAACTGCTGGAATTCCTGCTCCCTGGGCTCTCTCCACCCGACCCCTTGAACTTGAGTCCTAACTGTGAAGATCTCACAGAAGGAAAACAAGTGACGCTAGCATATACCTGACTTATCAGCGGGATCTCATCCCAGGGAGAACCTTCTGTAATGTGGTTACAGGAAACATTCACCAGCACCAGGCTCTTCAAGGACAATTCAGAACTCGCCCAAGAGAGAGTTTTCAGGTACAGCAAGTGCAGAAGAGACTTCAGGGTAGCTTTGCCACACACGCCAGATACTCCCAACCACAGTGATCTACACTGTCAAATAATTTAATTTGGAGAGAAAGTCTGCATATGTAAGGCACAGGTAAATGGTTCAGTCAGGACTCACAGCGCTAAGAGCAGCCTCAAATTTTAGGAAGAGTAAGACTCTCCCAGGAGGTTGTCAGAAATGTAGATCCGGCCCTCGCCCTCGTAGGCAGAGAGTCTGATCCAGCAAGCCCTGCATGGGACCTTGGAATCTGCATTTTAACAAGGACTCCAGGTGAGTCTGTTGCAGGTTGGTCCAGGCTCAACCTTTGAAAAATATTCCCCTAGGAAACATACACCGAGCATGTCTGTGAACACAGGAATGTGGAAGACCTCCCTCATTCCTAACAACATTATTACTGGACAGTCGCTTCTGAAATAACTGAGTCAAGGCAGGAGGAAGGGCCTCACAGAAGGTGCCACGGTGCATGGAGTCTTGCTTACAGGAGCCCTTGACAGGATCCTGGGGTCAGACCAGCTAACTAAAATCCTCATACCCGCCATCCCTTACAAATTGTGCAAAGATGAGCACGTCAGCGAATGCAGAGTCCTGGTTTTCCCAGCTGTAAAGTGTGAATAATGGGTGTCCAACACCTTCTAGAACAGCTAGGTCAGGCCATGCCCACGGGGCCCTCGGTGTGGAGCCAGTGCTCACACAGTGCGGTCCTGCATCCTTGCTGTGCCACGTACCAGCACACCCCAGAACACACAGATTCCAAGGATGGATCAGACAGCACTCAGCGGTGGAGCTGCTGTAGCTGTGGTACAAGCTCTGTGCAGCAGGGGACAGGGACTGTGTCTCATTCATCAGTAGATGCCAAAGGAGCCTTTATTCAATGACACACTATTTTGAGTACCTCCTCTAACCATCTCATTTTAAAGATGTGGTTCAATCAAAAACACTAAGTAGTGTTAAATGCCAACGTTCACGAAAAGTCTGACGGGTCACTGAAGAGTGGCTGGAAACACAGCACCACATGGGTATTTCCAGCTGTTTCCATCTGTGGGCCTCCCAGGACACTTCTTAACTCTCCTAAGTTTCCAGCTCCTCGTGGTTGTGGTGAGGATGAATGGGCAGAGCTTATAGCGCTCAGCAACCTCGAAAGGTGTTCTGTTCCTGCAGGGACATGTGACTTCTGGCAGTTTCAGTGCAGGGAGTGCTGGGAGCCCAGGCAGAGTGCCTCAGAAAATGCCTAAGTGGCATGTTGATGCAGGGACAGAAGATCCAAGAATGAGGTTTTGCCTAATTACCTATCTCCCTAAAACCAGGGATGTCTGGGGAGGTGGGAGTGGTCTTAGTGTTTCATTGCACCAGGCCAGGGCTTGCAAAGGCTGTTTTTGA